TGCTTAAATCATTGCTGAGAACTGGAGCCGGGTTGGCAAGAGAAGCATTTGGAGAGATCAAATGAAATGAAGACAAGCGGCAGTAACTGGTAATGAGGCAGTGAAAAGACAGGGAGCTTCATCCTTACCTTTCAAACAATGTGAGGGTAATAAATTGCTTGTTCATACTCTATCTGAAATCATCTGCATGTGAGTGAATGTGATTTTAATTTTGGTGACATGCAGACGCCAAGGTTACTGGTGCTGGCCCAGAGAACAGGCAGCAGCTTGTGTGTGCAGACAGGGCGGGCCATGGGATGAGCTACCCAGACACACCACCGAGCCAGTGGGGAGGATGCTCTTGCTATTCAATTCACATATCTTGCTGAACATGCAGATGAGTTTAATTTATATTTAATCAGTCTCTGCAAACAGCAATCACTTGAGAGGTTTTCCATACAACATGCAGTGATTACCCTTATTACAGTGGTACCATTCATACTGCCAGTGCTGGGGTCTCTCAGCCCCTCCATTTGAAATCCTTCACTTCTGGAGCTTTAAATGCTTTCTGTAGAATGCTTTGCAGGCTGGAACTTGAAAAATCAGGAGGTGGCTCAGTAGCAGCCACACTTACAGTCATGTTTTCCTTGGGACTGAGCATTGGAAATGCCTCTGAGAGCCCCACTTTGTCCCTGCAGCTGGCTGGGGAGGCAGGTGCACTAGAGGGAGGTGACCCTGCCTGTAACGAGAGACCCCCCTCATGCCAAGTATTTATAGTTGTGGCTTTGTCTCAGGTTTTCTGGGTGTGAAATTTCAGACCTTCAGTCTTGCAGAAGATGTGATGAACTTTGACTGTTGGCTGATGTGTCAAAATCAGCCAGCTGGGGCCTGTCCTTATGCCTACAGAGGATGTTTTTGGCATCTCCACTGGAGCAGCACATTGCTGGCAGATCAGATCTGATAGCTTCAGGGCAGGGGCTGAGGCAGAGACAAGAATTTTTGCAAAACTAACTTATGATGTAAAAAAAGAAGAGCAGGCACATTTGAACAACTTCAGCTGGTTCTTTTCCATTAGAGCTTTCTCTATCTGTCCTTGCTTGTATTTTAGCTGAAACCTAGGAGTACTCCACCATCAGCAAGCAATCAAGGGAGCACTTCTGGATGCTTGAAGAGGTTCTTGGTCCTGTCTCTGTGCCAGCCAGAGGACACTGAAAATGTGCTTGCCTGCACCATCGGCATCATGCTACAGGCTGCTGACCTGTGGTTATGCTGTTGCACTGAATTTGTCTCTGTAGTGACATGTTTGGTTGGCCTGTGATTATCTCAGCTTTCTGTCATTATAAGGAGAACTATTTTTGACAGCTTATTCTAAAGCCAGCTCATTATGGACAAGTAGCAATCTAGACAGAAATTGGGGTTAAAAGACATTTATTACGGCATGACATCTTCACTCTGATACTTCCATGGTGTTATAATAGTGTAGGTGCTGGTGGCAGTTCCAGGGGATTTATTGTCTTGCCTTTCGGGCAAGCAGTGATGGGGCAGCACCTTTATTAATTATAAATGGTGTTGTAGATACAATGAAGTGGTCATTCCTTTTCAGCCAGTGACAAGAGGGACAGATGGCAATGGAATCACCAGCTTTCAGCCATTCATTGCTGATCCTTGACCAAACCTTGCATCTATAAAAGTTCCTTAATTGTATCTCCTCCCTTCCCCCCCCCCCCCCCCCCCCCTTCCCTTCCGAATCTCCCCTATCCTTAGCAGTTGCCATGAAAGCATACCAGCTCCTGAACAGACAGCCTCCTTTCTGAGCAAAGACTAAGAATGGAAACTTTTAGTACAGAATGTGCTGTTTCAGAAAGTTGCAAAAAAAGTACAAGTTGGGAGACTGATGTGTTGCATTCAGCAGCCTCAATGCTAGCAGCAGCGATCAACATCTGCTGTAATTACTTTCTTTAGAACTTTACAAATGTGCTGATAATTTTGGTGGAAAGAAGAATAAATGGGAAAAGATCTGGAAGATACTCTTTTTTACTCTGGAAGATACTCAATTTTTTAATTAAAATGTTTTTGATTTAAAAAAAAAACTCTTAAAGAAGCAATTAAAACAAGATGGTATTACTCTATACTTACATGGAAAAGCCTTGCCAGGATTAACTAGCTTTCACCAAATAAATTACTGCCCTTGGATTTGCATTAGCAAATACTTTCTATAGATGTTAATCAGGAGGAAGTTTGTATTGAGTGGGTGAGATCGAAGCAGGAAAAGCAGCCTGCAGGGTCATGTGCAGAGTACCTAACTGGGGGAAAGCATTGTGTCTAACTGAAGCTACTTCCTGCTGTGAGTTTTGATCTCCAGGAGACCAATGTTGGAAAGAGGTTTTAGGTGGAGCCATGTCTGAATTTTATTCCGACTACAGAAAGCTTTATTTTTTCACTATTTGTATTTCAGTAATTAAATTTGAGGCCTTGGCCAGACTCCATTTAAACAAAGCAAAGAGCCAGGGTGCAAAATGCTGTGCTGTATGATGACCTAATCCAAATCCCACCAAGTCTGGGAATGTTTCCACCGACTCCCCAGGAGCTGGATTGGACCCACACAGTCATTCCTGCCCCTTGCCAGTGCCTGCTCCCCCAGGCAGCTGGCACCTGAAACCTCCTGGTGGGCACAGCTGAAGGATGGACGTCTGGGCACTGTTCTCTGCTGAATGGACCGCACTAAAATAACACGTGAGCTAAATAAGCTTTGGCAGACCTGGAGCAGTGGTCATGTTTGTGGGCTCTTCTTATGGTGGGGATAATGCAGTTTGGTCTGAGTCTGAATGTGGCACGTTTTTCCTCTTTTAAAGTTTGTTTTCTTCCTTCAGTCAGTGAAGATTTCCCAATGGTTTCATAGTCACCGCTTTGGCACTGTGCTTCTCCTCACCAAAGGCTGCTGGACAGAGAAGATGTGTGTTAGTGATGATGCCAGTGAATTTTAACTCCTGAATAGTTTTGGTGGCTGAAACACAAAACGTGGTTTCATTGAGGACTGGGACTGCAATGGTCTGAATATGAACACTGTTGGCAAAGAGCTGAGTGGTATAGGGCTGGTATCTCCTCCCAGCAGTGCATTTCTTTGATTACTCACTCATTCCAATGATAAATACATAGGAATTTCTATAATACATTTGATTCATTCCTATAATGAATTCAAGCTTCTTCCTAAGCCATTCATTAAAATGCTCTTCACTTACATAATATAAAAGGTCAACTAGAGTGTACTAGTGTACAGTGTCTTTTTTTTTTTTTTCTATTGGATCACAAATTTTGTAAACGTTTCATGCATCAGTTGTTTTTCAGTGGTAATCCATGCATAGATAATTGCTCATACCAAAAGTTGTGATGGTTCCAGGAATAAGGAACAGTATCTGAGCCACCAGGCTGTTGTCCAAATGCTTACAATTAATAAATAATGTGAATCCATGAAATGGAGTGTGATACATAGTGTTGTCTGGGGAAAAATACTAATTTTTTAGAGTTTAAATGAAGGAACCAGAACTGCTATTTTTGAAAAATAGGTCTAGGGAAAGCATTACAGGCCTGTTCCAAGCACAAGGTAGAGGAGATACTCACAGGGGCACAGTGGGAGCTTTGAGGCTTGCACTGTTTCTCCCAGCAGGCTACCCACTCTGACCTGGGTCCACACGGATGAAAACTACTTACCTGCATCAATTGTTTCCTTTAAAGCTTTTATTTAGTTACCTCTACAAGCAACTTTGGGGACACTCATTATCTTCATACTTATCTCCTCCAGCCAGATGGTTTGCAGCACATGGTGGACATTGAGGACCAGCAGCTGTGTGGAATGGTCTACAGTGAAAGGGAGAGCTGTGGATTAGCCAAGGGAGCATCTGCTCTTCAGGACATGCGAATGTGGCTTAGCTGAACAGTGCAGCTCTCGTGGTATGAAGCCTTGGTGTCAGCAGAGACAGGATTAAAATCTGTGGTCAACATGCTCTTTCCAGAAGGACCCAGGCCCATCTGAGCTCAGGGAAACAGGCCCTGAATCTCTGGTAGGTCTAATAAAAGTGGTTCTGAGTCTTTAAGCAAGTGCCATGGAAAAACACATGGCATGTTCTGTCCCTTCGCTTTGAGATCTGCATGTGGTGCCCACCAACCTCACCAGTCCTGATTTGACTTCCACCACTTCCAGAGGAGAAGTGAAATTCATCTCTCTGGCATACTAATGAGTCCTGTGCATCTGTTTCACTCCTGAAGCATTGATCCTGGCTCCGAACAGCCACAGCATCTATTCAGCCAGGAGCTCTTTTTTGTAATAACAGGCTTTAAAATATGTAAATCTATTTTCAAAGCAAAATATAAACCTCGAATGTTCATGTATCCCTCAGAAGGAAGAAGGGGTCTCTGTCCTAATATTTTATGCAAATCTAGCTTTTGCTGTTGTACTTGGGCATGAATAAATATCAATGACTGCTTTAAAATGAGGAAAAAAAGAAACTTCATCCTTCATCAAAAGAAAAAACAACTTTATTTCTATTGCATAAATAATGGTAAAATTAAAATCTTTTTATACAGAGTATATATTTACAGTAGTGTTTGGTTAGAGGAAACAGCCGATACATATGGCATTCAGGTTTTCCTTTTATACACATCTTTATACACTTGGGTAACTTGCAATAACATAGGATTTATTTAAGTTGCATGCCAAGTTAATTTATATTAATATTTACAGTGTTTTGTACAAAGTATTTTTTTTTTTACTATTATGTTGCTGACTTTGTGAGTTGTTTCTTTAATTAAAATGCCATGTCTTCTGTTAACAAGCAAAAATGGTCAATTTTTAACAATGAATAGTAAATGGCTTGAAAACAGTTGGAGATGAAATGACGACAAAAATGAGATGGATGCATTAGTGAAGAACTTAATTCCTACAGATGAATCAGGACGCATTGGTTACTTAGATCCTAGCATGGATTAAATGGTAACAGGCTGGATTCTGTTTTTTTGTTTTTTTGTTTTTTTTTTTTTTTTTTTCCAGCTTAAGCCAATTAACTCCAATGAGTTACTTCTTATTTACTCGAGTCCGAGAGGAACTTCAGCTTTCTTCCTCCCGCCACCCCAATTAAAATCTGAGAGAACACGAGCTGCTGCATGAAGCTGAAATAACTTTGGCTCCTCTGACAGAGATGGTGGGAAATGTCATGCCACTCTTGAATAGCTGCAATATGAAAATATGTGCACTTTTTTGAAGATTGCTGTCAAATGGCAACCCCAGGGGCCTGATGCTGCAAACACATCGGCAGCATGGTTTGAGTGTGGTGGGACTGCTCACAGGAGAGACAACATGCCTGAGTGTTGGCAAGACTGGAAGAGTAGCTACTAGAGCAAGCTCGACAGCTTTATATGGGATGGTCAAATGTCTACTTGTTGGCCAATGCAAGCTGATAAAGGAAAGTTGCATTATGGAACTTGCCTAAAGCGATGAGTGGGTTTGAAGATGCTTATTCATGATGCTGGCAAATATTGGCCATGAACAGCTGTAGAAAAATAATTGGATGGAAAATGGAAATTTCATTTAGTAATAGTCTTCAAGGCTACAAAGTATTTTGTTCTGTCCTGACAGAAGATAATAAAAATTAAAAAAAAAAAAGTATTTTCATGGTCGAATTGCCAAGAACTGATCACTAGATTCAGAGGAATTCCTTTTTCTCCCTTTTCCCCTCCATTTTGGGGCTGAAATTCTTTTCTACTGAAGATGCCAAACTGAGGCATTTTTCAGACATTTGCCACTGGAACGAAAGTCTGAAAAACTTCAGACTCCACTTCATAGAGCTGCCTAAAACATGCTACTTGAACTGGAGAAAAACAAGATTCGTTTCTGATAATAACCAACAACACAGAGAGATTAAAATGTTTTGAGCCTTTTGTTTTTCTGTATTAAATTCCTTAGTTCCTGGGAAAGTAATAGGTTTTAAGTGATACCAGGGAAATATAATTGCACTGTCAGAACTCAGTACAGTAAAATAATAGATTGAAAACCAGCAAGTTCTGTACATCTCCATCTGTGGAATGTAAGCATGATTCAGAGCCAAGAAAAAAAAAAAAAAAAGATACTTTATCAGATTCTCATTTTAGAAGAGTTGGTTTTTCTTCTTTCAAATAGTCATCCATAAAGCAGAAACTAAATAATTTATTACACGGGTGGATAAAATAGGGAACTTCATTCTTAGTGATCTTAATGTATTCCTCCTACTGCTTCTCTCTTTGCAGATCTAAGTCTGACTCGGGACTGTGAAACTCTTGCTTTTGTGCAATGACAGCCCTTGGCAGTGCGACTTGCTCTGGGCACGTGCACGCTACGTGCAGGGAAAGAGAGTCTTTCATGGAAAAAAGCTGAAAAGTACCGGGCACCTCGCAAAGCAATGTGTCATCTCGAGCAGAGCCAGCACTGGACCTTGGATAGCCTTGCATGGTCCTCTGGGTGTCCCAGGAGATGCTTTGGTCTTTTGGAGCAGGCAGAAAGATGCAGTGCGTTCTTTCCATGGAATAAAGTGTTTGCCAGTAGGTACTTTGCTCATCCAAGTCTGTCAAAAAGACTTCATCCATCTCAAGTAGCATCTTTAGGAATGCTTCCTACCTGTTCTTGATTTACTTCCTCACTATTCTATTACTTATGGGAGAAAGACTGGCCTCAGCTTAAAACAGTGCATATATCTTATATAACTTTTTTTCTTTTTTTTCCCCCGAGTTCATGTAAATCTTTAACGTAAAGCAAGTAACATCCAGCTCTAACAGTTCATCATATCCAAAGTGAGTGCCCAGTAACCACCAAATAGCATGTATGAAGTCTCTCAGCAGGTGATACCCCAATATCCAGCTCTAGTTCACCTGGGAGCGGGGGCATGTAGACAGGTCTCCTATACCTGCTCACAGGTGACCCTTGTCCTGGGGAGGTCCATGAGTACCTCCACCAGAATGGGGTGTCCTCTAACAGTTACCAGCACATTTGTAGGTACCCATCAAACTGAAAAATTAATTACTTCTTTCTTTTCAAGACTTTTTGTCCTTTGTCATCTCTATATGACCTCTACCAGCATGAGGACCAAACGCCCCCTAAAAGAGTGTTTCCAGTTGCCCACACTGCTTGTGGTTTTTAGTTCTCTATACCACTGCCAATACTGCACCTGATTATTAAAGCCTTCTCAGTGGTGGAGCCAGGCCCCAGTGAGGCCCTGAGGTGGTGCAGCCTGTTGTGGGCAAGTGCCTGCCCCTGAGGTCCAGCACCACGCTGCTCTTGGCCTGCACAGTAACGCCTCAGCTGAGGCCTTTGTGGCTGACCTGATGGTATGGCTTCGGATCTGACAGGCAATCCATGCTCCCAGAGCAGCTTTTTGCTGGAATTCATTTCTCTGTGGCCTCTGAAGTGTCACATGCTTGCTGCCCCCTCGTTGGCTTCTCCAGGTGCAAATGCCTTGTGGTACTTGAAAATCAGGCTGTGCCTTCAAAGTTAAAGCCACAAATGGTTCTCAGCAAAGCAGCCCTGCGCTGTGCCAGAGCAATAAGCCAAATCTTTCCCATCAGGACTGGTCCCTCCATGATGGATGTGCCCAACAAGCCCAAGGCGGCCTGTGTTGAGCAGCACGTACACTGCCTTAATTTTACTTGCTCCCAAGCCAAACCAAACTAAAGCCTCTCTCAAGCTAAAACAATCACGGCCACCTTAAATCTTTCCCTCTGTGCCAATCTGTTTAATTGCACACCTTATTTTTATATTTTGTGACTAAGCCAACAGAGTCATCTTCAGGGTGCTCAGAATTTGCTGATAATTTGCTAATCCATGAGCTCAACGGCTGTCCTGGGCTGCTGGGAGTCATTTGTCCAGCCTTGGTGTGGCTGGGAGCATGTTTGCAATTGCTGTGTGTCGCTCCAACTTGTGGCACACATGTCACGAACAGCGAGGGTTGCCATAGCAATATCCTTTTCATACAGAATTGCAGTGCTGAAAAGACACTTAAATTCTCATGTAACTGGCAAGAGCATAAGTTTAGTGCTTTTTCTGACAGCTCTACCTAGCCCTGCTGCAGTCTGGGTATTTTTTAAAGTATGTTAATTAGCACTTAAATAGTGGTGGTTTTTTTTTTTATTTTTTATTTTTTTTAAGTATGGGATGTGTTTTTATTTTTATTTTTATTTATTTGATTCTTCTACTTTCTTCCCCCTAAACCTTTGCCATCAGGTTCCAATGGAAATTTTACTGCTCTATTTTTACCTACTGTCTGTAAAAGCAATAAAAAAGCCCCTTTTTCCATCTCTTATGTAGAAGAATACAAAAAAAAAAAAAAAAAAAAGGAAAGAAGATAAATGGATGTTACATAAATGGAGCCAGGGAGAGGGAGGGAGGGAGGAGACAGAGGTCCAGTCCTGCTGGCCAGGAAGGATGGGAAGGTGTAACTAGAAAGGTTGCTGGAGGTTGCTGGGAGTGGAAGGGTTGAAACAGCTTGGCCTGATCCATCCTGCATTGCCACTCACTACCAGAAGAGCCTGACAGATTAAAGAAGGGATATCTTCAAGATGCCTTTAGATGAAGAAAGGCTGCTCTAGGAAGGAAGAGGAGACCTCTGGCAAGACATGGCACTGATTCATAATGGATAAATTGGGTTCCCCACAGAAAAAGCAAAACCAAAAAATCCCCAAATCCCGTACCCAGTAAAATCAGTGGGGAGTTTTGCAATGAACTCTACTGACCCCAGGCTATGGCTTTTACCAATATATTAATTATAGGTTTGGTTTTACAAATGGACCTTCAAGACGAAGAATTGTGCTGAACAATGACTGTATTTACAAAGTGTTTTTTTTATTTTATGGAACATGCATGTAGAAATTATGGAGCCTCTAGAAAGCTTGGAGGAATGGAAAAGATTATCTTGTCTGTAAGGTAGCTGTTATAATTGGAGTCTGCCTGGTGTTAGCTGTTGGATGAGTGAGAAGAACATGGAGAAAAGCCTGGTGTGTTTTACTTGTCTTTCTGTGCTAAGCAAAGAGGCAATGCTCTGCCCCATGGAGCTGCTGTGCTGAGCGGGGTTGGTGGGTCAGTGCCCACCAATGCTCCATCTCCGTCTGCTCTGCTTCCCACATCCACTCCAGCACCATCCCAGGAAAAAAAAAAAATCTTAATAAGTACCACTCAGTGGCAAGCAACATTTACACTATTTTCTGCTGCCCCCACCAATTCATGTGCCCCTGAGACCTAAAAATGTGGATGACAGTTCCCTCAAAAAGATATCCAAGCTCATTATCTGCAATATCCAGCACAGTGAGTGTTGGGAGCACCCCTGATTTTCCCCAGCAGAGTGAAACCTTTGCTTGAGCTTGTCTATGATTTTCTGCTGTTAGTTTGAAGTCTGCTCCTGCCCTATAGGAAACACAAATCCCTCTATCTTCTAGGAGATGTAAAAATTTTAGCGGAATGTTTTGTGGTTGACCTCTATTAGTCACAGCAGAACAGAAATACAGAAGTGTGTGTTTGTGGAAGGCAGAAAAACAACTCAGCTGCTTTGGAAATGACAGCTGTCATCTTCAGATATGGAGGGGGGCACCAGGAAAATGGCAATGTGGAAGTGGGCAACTACAACACACACCTAAAGAGAAATCCTAAGCAGTGACATGAGTTTAAAAGGCTAGTGGGAGACAGAAAAATGAGAAACACATTTTCAAATTAGGCTACGAAAAAGAAACACAGGTTAAATATTATCAATTGAACTTGTAACCAAAAAAAAAAAAAAAGACAAAAAAAAGACCTGAAACAAGTCTTTGAGATGGATCCAGGCTTAAGCCAATGACTGCTGTGTAGGACAAGGGAAGCTCATGGTTCACAATCCCTCTGGGAGCCATCCTGCCCCCCTCTCATGACACAGGAAACAGTCATCTACGTTCCAGGAGCAGGATCTCACTGTTCCTTGGTGTTTCTGGAGCTTGCCCAGCTGGCAGCATGAAGCCACCGCAGCTCTGACGCCTGCGTGAATGCTTCCCGCACTGGCTCCGCATGTGCTGGCCACAAATATCTCCCATGAGGTCAAGGAAACCAGATCTCTCCCAGGGGTGACACACAGATGCACAGTTCATCTGAAGCTAAGTGCAAGGATTTGTATCATGTTTAAAAGGAGAAACACTTTCCGATGTAATCCTGGCTCCAGGAGTGTGCAGTCCCTGCACTTTCCGCGGGATGTGTTGTGTCTCTTGTTTGCATCACTCCATCTTCTCTTTGATGCACATTAAAATCTCTTCCAGGAAAAATAACTAACACTTGCGGGATCTGAAAGTCTGACACACTACATAACATATGGCGGTATGCTCAAGTTTGATTCCTTCTTCTCTTGCTGCAGCCTGCTTTCCAGCTCATCCTCTCTTGAGCCCATCCATGGGATGGGTGGAGCAGTGGCAGCGGTGGTGGGATGGCTCCAGTGAGGGTCTGGAGCAGCTGGCTGGTCAAATCCCACATCACCACACAGGTGAGTATGTAATGTCTCTCATGAGAAGGTGTCTGACATGGAGGATTCACTGCAGATTACAACGACGGCAAATGAAATTAAATACAAATTGGGCAGATGAGTAGTAGGAAGAAAAGCTGAGAAAGAGCTTTCCTTATGGTTTTGGTCTCAGATAAGGTTGTTGAATACCAATATAGTGAGAGGGCAAGACTTCTGAAAAGAAAATGTTGTTGAATACGCAGGTGGGACCAAAGAGAAGGCTGGTGCTGGTGGTTGCAGGGTTGGCTGGAAGACTGCACAAATCTCAGGAATGCCCATGTGTGAAAGCGGGTGGTGGTTCTTAAACCCTGATTTGCGGTGGGAAAAAATGTCAGACAGACTCATGCTACCCCACAGTCTGGTGTCAAAGGCGGTATTATGAAGCAAAAATAGACATTTTGTATGACGCTGGCAATTTCTCCTCTTTTTACTTTGAAAATACTGTACAAGGATGCTCTAGCTCCCCTCTAATGCCGTAAACTCAAAGGCATGGTCATAAGGGAAAAACAAAGTGAAGCTGAAGTACATGAAATAAAATGAACAAGACTTGCTTGTGGCAATGCTACGATCAACTTCCTGGGAATGTGGGCCCGGCGGAGAGCTATGCAAAATAGTCAGTTGGCCCCTAGGTTAAAAGACAGCCCTGCTGCAATGAGTCACGAGGCTGTGCCTCCTTGAAACTGCAAAACAGACTGCTGGATGAAAGTGTCTTCCAAGTTACCATTGCTGTTTTGAAGCAATAATTCAGGACTCCTGTATATTTTTTTTTATTGCATTAGGAAACAAAACCTTTAAAGCATTAAGACAGCCCTTTTATGTCCCTGCCAAAAGGATGTAGTTGATTCACAAGACACGTTACGCTGCTGGCCCCAGGCTCCTTGTCGAATGGTGCGTTATCTGCCTGCCTCTGTCTCTTTGCCGTGTGAGAGTCGGTTCAGGGGAAGCTCACCCGGTGGCATGCGCATGCATGGTCAGTTTGGTTCACAGTGTCATGGCGAGAGGCTACTCCATGCCGCTCCGCAGGATCTGGTTGGCCGCAATCAACATCACGCTTATAATAAAGGCCATGGCAAATGCGCAGATAAGGCTCTTCCGTACACAGGTCTGTCTGTTCTGCTTCTGGGCGTGCACTGCAGGAAAGACAAGAGAAAGATCATAGCATCATACAATCACAGGATGGCTTGGGTTGGAAGGGGACTTAAAGACCATCTAGTTCCTACCTCCTGCCATCGGGGGTTACTCGATGAGTTCCTCGGCCAAAGAAACATTTTTACTTTCCACTGGGATCGACTGAGCTCGGAAATCCTCCTTCTCCTCAATGTATACCCAACTTTGGCTGAACCCTCTAGCTCATACTTCAAAGATCCCCTGTGCTGGCCAAGCACTACCTCTCCTTGGAGACCATTGGGGTGAATATAGCTGGGACATTTCCAAATAAACAACCTTACCTTTCATTACTTCCATACCAATTTTCCTATTAGACTGCCCTCTTGTACTGCGGGAATCCCTTTCTCACTCACATTGGCTTTAAAAACCTTCAAATGCCTGAAGATTTAAGTGTTTCAGTAGATCTGGGTAGGGTAGGGTTGTGTTTTTTTTAAGTTCTTTATGAAGTTCTCTATGCATTTCTTTTATCAGAAATATTGGTCTTCTGTGAATCCCCTTAGTCACGTCCAGGTTTTTCCAATTATAAGTCAAATGGGAGCAAGCAGAGATTCAAGATGTGCTCCCTGACAATGCTTAAAAAAACACTGTGATCATTCCCATGAGCATGCATAGTACCTTAGGATTTTTTTTGAACTGTCTTTAGGTTTTTCTGTGCCTAAGCAAAATCAGACTTACTAAGAACCTTTTTAAATGAATGCTTGCAGAACAATTGTCAAAAGAGGTGAGAGCAATTTCAGCAGTTAATATGCAGACAAATGGGATTTTTAGCATTTGACATATTTTATGTAATTATATTTTTAAGTTCAGCAACAAGTATACATGTTGTGGTCTGCTAAAGCCAGTTCTTGTCTCTGCCTCAGTCTCCCTACCTAAGAATACCAGAACAACACACGGTACAGGGGTTCCACAAAGATCAACATTTGAAAAGGCTCTGAAGGTTCTGCAAGATGGATACAGAAAGTCATAAGATCCTCACACACATATATGGGTAGTATACACATATAAGGTCTTTTTTAGGTACGAGAAGGGATTTACCCACCTTCCTTTTCCCATAGATGCTTGTACTGGTGATGATGGGAGACTTTCAGATGGTTTGACAACAAGCTCAGAATTACATTAAAACCAAAATGTGACCAGAAAAAGGCTCTGAGTGCCCAAGCTGTGAAAAGTCCAGGAGGATGTTTTGAGCACAAAGAAATAAAACCTTATTTTAATCCAGGCTTGAACCTCATCACACGGAGACGGGGAGCACTGGATGCTGTATTTTGAACACTTGTTTCATCCCTCCTTGCCTCCTCTGGCCAGGATTTAGCAGTGTCTGTGTCCTAATCCCAGCTCCCATGTGGTCCCTGAGCATCAGCTCAGTGCCGGAGGCACAAGAAGCCCTCGTTAGGCAGCACTTTGAGTCAAAATGCCGAGGGCAGGGAAATGTTGCACAACCATTGCTCCAAGGGACTCACTATATTCTGCTCAGATAATGAAATCCCCCTTACGGCAGCCTCCTAAATTACTTGCTTTCTGCTTGTATGGCTCTACTCCTTGATTCTTTCGTTTGCTTTTATAATGCACACAGAATCAATACTGTAGTTCCCTGGTTTTGTGCATGATGGCCCAGCACTTTGAAAAGCTTGTTAAATAACAGCTTTGGTTATTCTGTCTTTATTTTTCTGTTATTTATGCACTTTGAAAACTCCCCCAGCCAGCAAACAAAACAGTGGCATAAGCCCTCATGGTCAGTGTTGCTGTTCAACATAGGGCTCTGATGCCAATTATGACTGGGAGAACAGTTGAAGACTGGCCATGACTTTCTGCAATGGCATTTTCCTACTCAATGGAAAAGAGTAAAGCATGTTCAGTATATCTTGCAGAATTGCTCCTGAAGCAATTTCAGTCTTCTGTTATACTATCAAGTCAAAATAGAGCTTAAAGATAGTAGGATCCAGGTAAGCCATCAATATTGTTCTTTACCTACTGAGAAGCTGAAGTTGTCTTTTTTTTTTTTTTTTTTTTTAATTGTTAACACAATTTTGTGCTGCCCTAGGAGCAGTCTATGACTTGTCCTCCTAAATATGAAAACCCTCTTGCCCTCCCTGTAGATGATGAGGTTTTGCTCTCAATTTCTTCAAATTCATAGATCCTTTGAGCATGGCATCTATTCTTTTTCCTGCTGGTTTCCAGCATTGTCACAGGTCTGAATTATTGATGTGTTTTGCATTTTGTTGCCAATAGGAGTTTTTAATACCCAAGGGACATGCAGGCGTTTAGACATGAGTTGTTTCCTTGAATGTGGTCAGAGCCAGAAGCTTCTTCTGAGGTGCCCCATTCAATGTAAAGGAAATCTCAAGAATCAAAGGCACATCAAGGCTCATCCTTCATCTTCTCAACATGCAGAGGGTATGCTGGTGGTGAAGACTTGGCCAAGGGGTGGCAAAGACAGCTTACCATCTGTAACTTCTCCACCTGGAAATAGGCTCAATTGGCACACTAGCTGTGACTGCCAGGCTGGTTATGATGCCCACAGTGGGGCTGAGATGCTCAGGGTGAGCATTGAGAACCCTCTCCTCTGCAGATTTAAGCTTGATAATGTGATCAGCTACAGTGTATTTATAGTGACTTTTGTCATTACTCTGCCAAAGGTGAGTTAGCTGAGGAGTGGATGCTCCTAATGCTTATCCAGGGAGAGCGGGGAGGGGACCTGTGGCAGCTCTTGCACATCCTGTTAATTTGAATGTCAGGGCTGAGGATAAAATACCCATGGCTGGCAGCACAGGTCACTGTAACTATCCAGCACTCTTGTTTGCTAAGAGCTTATTGTCATGAGCATTTGGATAAAGGGACCTGCCAGATGAATGATTTTTGTACTACAGATTTTTGTTAGTGCGATGTCATTGTAAAAGGTTGTCCTTTCCTTGTGTCTTTTCCCATAAAAACATGCACTCTTCTTGGCTCTGAGCTTCGTTGTCCTGCCCTAAGCATTAATAAAAATAGTGAGAAGGGCTGAAGATATAACTCTGCCTCCCTTCTGGTTGTGTTCTTTATTGTCAAGGCTGGTGTGGGCTGCTTGTACTGAGGAGCTGGGCATTTTCATTGCTTTGCTCTTCATCAAGTAGAAGGCTAACAAAACTCCCTTGAAATGTGTAGGAGGGAAAGTTGTAATGTGAGCCTAGATCTGACGTCTTGCAAATGACTCTCATGTTCAGAGTGAGCTGAACAAAATCCTAGACTTGTCTCTGACCATAATACAAATTTTGTACTTGGTTTAAAATGTGCGTGTGGTTGTGTGTGTGTATGCGTATGAGAGAGAGAAATAACTTACATCGTCTGTGTTGATATACAATAAATATTATGAAGTTTAGTTGCGAAGGCCTTACTATGACAAGAAGCCTATATGGCAAAATTTTGAGACTTACAGAAATTTGCATTTGTACTTTTTTTGATAGTAATGTTTCCTGTCCGTGGAGGAAGGTCTTAGTGATCCTTTTTGATGGCAAGAACATGCCCGGTATGACAGTGGGTGGAGATGCCCCATTGCAGCAACATACTGAAAATATCCGCTGTCTCTCCTCCCATAGGAGTCATTCCCAAATCTCAGTGAAAACCACCAGGGCTCAACTTGGATTCATTCCTACCCATAATTAAAGGCACTTCAGAGGGGTGGATGAAATGTACATTAAAAATAGATGTGAACCTCTAAGCTATTCCCTTTAGGCTACCTTTACAGTTGAAAGAAATAGGCTGTTTTTTACAGTGCAGTTCACCTCATCCTTGTATAGTGCTTCAAATAAATTAGAGGAATTGTATCCATAAAGTATCTTTTTCTCTCCTCTAATTAAGTGAGTGAAGGGTGATGAACTTACATAGAGACCCTTCTTAATACGAGGCTGAGATGCTGCCCAGCCTTCATGACAGCTCTCCCTTGGTGCCATCAGTCTATGCCATGAGGCCCTTTCATTCCTGCTTCTGAGTCCTGTGGGGAATTTTGTGTTTGGGAAATGGGAATGCTTACAGCAGCTGTGTCTCCTCTGGCACAAGTAGGTATTTCAAGTAATGGCATGTCCAGCCTTGAGAGCTGCGGGGACATAACCTGCTCTCAGTCTGCCTTTCCTGGGAGAAATGCTCATGTCAGAGCTGCTGTGGACCAGAACCATCCCCTTCTCCTGGGACCTGGAGCAAAACTTAGCATCTTGGTTGACAGTGTTTCGTTGATCTTTATTCTCTGGTGGATTTGTATGTGTGTGTGTATTCCTAACAACATCTAAAAAAGGGTCTGTTTTGCTTCTAGGTTCTGCCTAGCACCAGCAATGCCAACATCCCACGAGGAAAGCTGTTCTTGCTGTACTTTTGGAAGCTGGGACTTCCAAAATGAGAAGCTGAGCATTTCGGTTTTCGGACCCATTTTTTGTTGCGACTTGGATAGTTCACCCAAGTACCGATGCTGAAAGAAGCCTGCATGCCTCTTGCAGCAGTGACAGCTGGCGCATGTCTCCACTGAATCAGCAGGTCAGTGGGGACTAACAACTCCATTCATGTAAGTAAGCATCCCTTCCTCCCTGCTGCTCTTTGTGAGGAAAAAAAAATGTTGCTTGGCTTGGTTTGAAGAGTGTCGCTGCTTACCTCCCTCCTGCAGACTTTTTAAAATTCAGCCGTGCTCTTCTACATCTTTTCTGCAGTATTTAGCACAGGATGACTGTGCTGGATACAGTGTCTGAATCCCATTAATTAGCCAGGCTAAGAATTGCTCTAATATGCCTATCCTTTGCTTTGTTTTGATGCTTCATTATCTCCACCTAGTGCCCTTTCAGAGGCTACTTGACCCCTCAGAGTATCAGGATTTCCCACAAATGGACTGATGTAACGTGGCATTTCAGTGGATGGGAAAGCACCAGGGTGATGTGCAGAACCCTTACATTTCTCTGTATATATCTCACTGGACTTTTTGCACTTGAGATGATTTTTAGGTTTGGTTGTTACAACCAGCAACAATTTGGAGCACCATGAGTTCCTCTGGCCTAGAAGCTGATTTATTTGCCAGGAGTCTGTGGATATCTGTACTGTGAATGAATGCATGGTTTGGGCTTTGTAATATTGTCTGCTGTGCTGCTACACTGAGGGGAAAAATAGACCAGGTTGGCTATGTTTGACACAAATATTCTTTTTCATTTCCTAAGAGGCACTGAAGCTGGCCTGTGAATTTCAATTTATTGCTGGCTCCAAAGTGAAACAGCCCAAGTACCACCCTGTGGCTCTGCAAACCATCAGATATAAAAGTTGCTTTGGGCATACTCCAAGGTTAGGGGACAAATGAGAAAGAAAGGGTTTTGGTATTGGCTCAAAAGCTGTGTGAACTAGTAGACTGAGCATTGATCTCAAAGCTGAGAAGTCCTGAAGTAACTCCGCACTAACTCTGTGCAACTTTGCCCATTGCATATTGTGGACCAGGCTGAGTTTCACAAAGGAAGCAGAAATAAAATAATAGTACAGAAACTTTCTCTCTCACCTTCAAACTCTGTTTGACAGTTGCCAGAGTTTTCATTTAAACTCTCCTCTTCATTGATAATGATGTTCTCAATGTCCTTCATCGTTAAGTGGTCCCGGAAGGCGTGGTAGAGGATGTGTTTCAGCTCTTCTAGTGTTATCCTCTGCATGTCGAACTGTGGGAAGAGAACCGAGTTAGACACGGCCAGCAGGAACAAGCGTGGTACTGGGAGGAAGAGAGGCATGTGGGCACATTGCAGTTCCCTACTTGTGGTTTTTTCAACCTCATTTCAACACCTCAATATAACTTTGCAAATTTTGCTCTTTTGGGTTCATTTAACACTAACAGTGTGAATAATTCAACTGGATGTAGCTAGAGCTCTTGCAGCTTACTTATTGCTGGTAGAGCTGTAGGGAAGCAAGGGGTTGTTTTCCAGGCTGGAAATATAGCAATCCAGTATCAGCCCTGGCAATTCTGGAAGAGGTAAAGCCCTCAGAGATTCCCCTGGCACCTCCAGCACCTTGCCATGAGCCACAACTTTCTCTCTGCCCTGTTTTTCCTCCTAACTGCAGTGTGGAGAGCACAAGTAGAGAACATTTCCCTTGCAGAAATGTAGATCCAGTAGGTAAATGCTGTTTCTGCATATACCAGATAAATGTTTTAAAAACAGATTATTCCTGCAGAATATGTAGAAATGAACATTTTTTGCAGCAGAGGAACTTTGCACAGGTGTAAGTTTCATGGTATTAACATCTGCTAATGGTACACAAGAGAGGGGGTTCCCAATGTCTGACTGGCAGCCCAAGGGAGGATACCAGCCTCTCCAAGCCATCAGTGCAGGCACTGAAGAAGGATGGAAGTGCTCTGAGCCCTCCCACATCTCCTCCTGTGCTGCTGCTGATAGGCAGGTAGTGTGCCTGCATCTCAGCATGTGAGCAGCACCTTGGCATCTCAGCATTTACAACCCCAAACACAGGTTTGCCAGCACCAAACAGTGAGCACCGGGGCTTGTACACCCTTATCCAAGCTGCCTACCTTCAAGAAACCTCAGAAAAAACAAACAACCCTGGCTTAACACTGTGGTGTTAACACTGAGGAAAGCCGATGCAAACTTGTGCCCACTTCTGCAATTGAGAGTGTTGTGATAATGAATGATCAGATCATATAGCTGGCATTTCAGAAACAGTACAGCATAAATCCCCAATCCTTTTCCCCAAGGTTGATAAGGACAGGACAAACCTTATCAGCTCTGAGCCGCCTGGTGTGTTATCTAAGGTTGTCTTCCCTGACCACTGCTCCACACCTCATTGCACAGATACAAAATTATTAATTCTCAAAGTGATTAACTGGGGGAAATAAGTGCACTGTGATTAAACCTGGACCTCAAAGTATTTATGTGTTTCTGTGTGCATATAAGCAGATTTGCATGCATCCATATGCATTAATCTATCTTAGAAACACTGATTTTTATAGTTCTATTTATTTATTTCATGCAATGATTTAAAACTTGGTGCAGTAAATCTGCAGAAAAGTGAACAGCAGGGGTACAGTAGACAGACAGTTCCTGTTTTTTGCCCCAGATGAGTTCTCTGAAACCCTGATTTGGTTGGTATGCTTGTTTTGTTGCTTTCCTTGTTCCTCAGGGATTCGATATTCATGCTGCCCAGCTAAAAATAGCGAGCATGCAATTGTCACCAGTGGTCCCCTGCCGCACAGTTCAAAGTTGGATTGCAACCCCCCCTGGTATTTAGTCACATATTTCCAGCTTTCTTTATTGTGCATGAGGAAATTTCACCACCTGTAATCTGTCTTCTTATATGTTAGAAGAGCAAGTAAAATCAAGCAACTGTGTACTTCACAACTATGATTATGAAAAGCATTTCTCCTGACAAATAAAGGTATGGAAACTTGGGCTAATGTGTATGCTTGTCTTACAGCAGTGTCAGGAGCTGTCATTAGCGGAGGTTTGTGGAGTGTCTTGAGGCTGCCCAGGGTGTGCATCCCTCGGCTGGCTTCCTGCAGTGCCACAGAGGCGTACTCGTGGGCAGCAGCAATGCTTTATCACCTGCCACCCAGTCCTGCTCTCCTTTGAAGTTTTTCTCTTGGCAGAGCTCAAACCTGAACTTTGGCCCTGGTGTCTTCCTAAGTCCACCCTATGCTGAAACCCTTAATTTCACTTAGTGGCCAATTTGTATCAGCAGGAGCCGCTAGATGGCATGGGGTTAACCTATCACATCTCATCAGGGTGTAATATTCAACCTGTGCTGGAGTTTTCTTACTGTTCTTGGCTCAGGAAAAGTTCTCTGAGGCCAATACAAACATTTTTTTCCCCATTTTTTTTTTTTTTTTAATGGGCTTATTTCCCCCCCACCTCCCCACCCGCCCCTCCCCCTTAAAGTAATGATTTTTTAGAAGTTGTTCAAAACTTGTGTTCTCCAACGTGGACAGATGCTCAACCCCTATGAGTGCCTCAAAGCCCAGAGCACTGTCTCTGTGATCTGATCTTTACTTGTGGCCACCGAGGATTTTTGCAGTGTTGTGTTAGCCTCCTTTAGACTTAATGGAAATGCTCAAAGACTTCATCTGGGCAGGGTAGTTGAGGACAAAGAACCTCCTGCGTATGGTGCATGCGTGCTGGCCTTGTGGAGGGTAAAAGACACACAGTCCCCTGTGCTGGCATATGCTGCTCCTTTCCTTTTGCTCTTAGGAATCATTGCAGGTCTCTCTTTATAACAGCACTGCCACTAACAAGCTTTTGCAGAGTCTACCTATTGTCTTGCTTCAGGCTACCTGGATTACAAACACAGACACAGGCATCTGCTGGTCTTAACAATGTGGAAACAGTAATGACTTGTGGGTTTGGGGGTATTCCTATACCAGTTAGTGTGTCTAACGGGACAGAATTCTCTTGTCAAATATCCATCTGTTGCTGTGTCTCTGGCTCCTACTTTTAAGCTTGATGCTAATATAGGGAAAAATATTTTATATTGTTCCATTACTGTTTTTGTCTTCTAGGAGGAACCATCTCAGATGGGTGTCAAAATCACCATTGCTGGCTCATGCCCTGAGTGTTTGGCCTGTTTGCATGCATACGTTCATTGCTCCTGCTTTGCTCTCTGCTCCAGTACGTGCATCCAGCAGGCATTTCCTCCATCATCAGCACAGGAGTTTGTCCATACTGGGCTTGAGCTCAGTGCAGCCAGCGACGATAGTTTGCATCGGGTTTGGGCTTCTAGGTAATTTCTTCTATTATCATTGCTCTCCAATCTGGCAGCTTCCCTGATTCACTTTTCAATTACTCTGGCTTTTTATTGTTGTAATGACAGTAACCAGGGAGCAACTCTTAACTTTTATTGGCTCTGCTGAGAGGAAAACTGTGACTGTTGCAAGCTGAAAACTTTCTATAGGATTTATAATTAGGAGAAATCAATGATGTCGTTTCTGAGTCGGTGCTTTTGGAATACACTGTAAGCACTGCTATAGAAACAAACTGTGCGCAGTGCTGATGCTCAAATGCCCCATGTGATGCATGAGAACCCTGAATGAAAACCTGCACTAGTTACAGGTGTGTTTGGCTTCTTATGGAGAGCACCAGGAATTGCCCACTGCAGTTTAGTGGACTTGAGTAACTGTAAGCAGCACAGAATCACAGAATCACAGAATTTCTAGGTTGGAAGAGACCCCAAGATCATCGAGTCCATCCTCTGACCTAACACTAACAGTCCCCACTAAACCATATCCCTAAACAGACACATCTCATGTTGTCCCAAGAGACACTCTGGGACATTTTGGAAAATGCACCTGATCCAGCACAGTCCCTTGCTTTGAATTCCCTGCTGGGAATGAAAGCACAGTCCTGACCAGTTCCTTCAGTCTTCCTACACGCAGTTTCCAAAGTTTGCAGCTGACAGCTGTCATGGCTGCAGAACACTGGTTTCACAGCTGGTACCTTTTGCAGATACTGCTGTATCATATCTAGTACATTCTCCTTCTGCTCTATGCAGGGAAGTGACCCTATGAGAAGCGCTTGGTTCTTCAAAGAGTTAAATGCTGAAAAAATACTTATGACACTTTCCTTTAATTATCACCTCAGCTTTCGAAAAAAGAGTGGTAGAGCTCATTTCTTGAATCCCAAGTTGGCCTTGCTGCTGTGCAGAGTGGGCGATGTCAGGATAGGACCCTGCATGGCACAGTGAGTGGGGCTGTTCGGGTGACTCGCAACTTCTCTCAAAGCTGCATCAATAAAAATCCTCACCAAGGGGCAGGACTGGCTCCTCTGGCAGCTATGGCTTTAGCTAGGACAGTGCTTGGATACCAACTTGTCCTGAACCTACTGGGCCCAAGTCTGGCCCAGGTAAGCCATCTGAGAAGGTCTTCTACTGTTGAGGACTCCATATGAGCCTTGTGCCTCTTGATGGTGGGAGAATGAATCTGGGGTGGGAGAAAGAACACTGGGGTGGGGAATGAATCAGCAGAGGGGAGAGCAGGCTCTTTCCTCGTGCGTTTGAAAAACAGGTCTGCAGTTCCAAAAGCTTCAGGTTTCATAGATTTCTTGTTTGTTGTAGCCAAACAAAAAATAATTTGTTAATAATTTCTGAACAACAAGCATAATTTAGTCTTAGTCTTTGCTCTCAGATCTAGCGCATTTCAGACTATGTCTGTCTTGAATACCTGCAAGGCAAATGCAAACTGGCTCTGCCCATGCTCACAGCTGACTGCAACACCTGGGGATGTGACCCCCAAAATACTCTGACTATTTGCACAGCAAGCAGGGCTTTGTGCTGCATTGGCCACTGCCTCTTTGTTTCTGAACACAAGCAGCATGTTGGTGCTCACTGCAGATCGTGCAGCTGTTCCTTTAGCTAGACAGGCTTTGAGCTGATAAACTACTGGTCTGGGTCTTTTCCATAGGACCAATGTTTCATGTTGGCCATGTATTAAAGTGCACAGCCCCAGAGTGCTCGACACAAGAACATAATGTATTCCCAGCTCTGCTTGGGCGCTGGATAAATGGCCATTTTGTACTGACTGTACTTCCCAGATAAACTCAGCCACTGATATTTTATAATGCAAGGGACACAGACTACTAGAGAAATCAGGAGTCTGGAGGGGCAGGGGGACCACACAAGAAGGGAGCAAGCATGTGAAGCGGTGTAGTGGTGTTTGCTTGGGATGTGTTGAGCTGTACAGGCTGGAGGTCTTGCTGCTCACACCTAAGAGGCAGCAAGTGCTGTTTCAATCCACAGCCTGTGGCAGCCCCATGCTGTAAAAGCTTCTGGATGAAGACAATACATTTTCATATATCTATATATAGATATATCTATACGTATATATATATAAATCAAACATATGTGGGAACCTATGAAATATTTTCTAAATGTCCAGACATACACCCCCTCCAAATCTGGAAGTTTCTCATTATATATTTTATTTATTCTTCTATCAAAGAAGATGTGCTACAGGGGTGAACCTTTAGGCACCCTGAAGCTTGGAGTGACTCTTGTGCTCCCCCAGGACAGAGGACAGAGCCGCTTCTAAGCCTGCAACATACAACTGGAGTTAAAGGAGCAATGCCATTTTCTGTGTTCCCCCAAATCACTGCTACCTTTAAAGCAAGTCTAATTTCCTCTACCCACCCCCTTGCTGGCCCACACATCCACAGAAGGAGGGCTGGAAGTCCTGCAGCTCCAGCAGTGAAAACACAGAAGATGCATTTTGTTCTGCTCCACACACACCCCCGTGGAGGGTGGCTGACTCCATGATGTGAGCTGAAGATTGAGGGGTCTATTTGTCTTTTCCCCATCGCTACTACTCTTTGTCCTTCCATTGCCTGCTCCATGCCAGTGCTCTTGCCACCTACAAAGAGGTGACCCAGAGCATTTATGGACTGGGACAAAGCATGCAAAGGTCCTGCAGGAATGCTCTGTGGGCTGTGGTAGGAACTGAGGTTGCCCTCACATGTGCACAAGCCCTTTCTCTTTCTGGGGCCCATGCCTGACCATCTGTGGAGGTCTCACATTGCCCTGCTGAGAGCAGCCTTATTCCAGCTTGCTGCCCTTCTGTAGGGGGAGGAGGGAGAAATGGATCAGGGCAAAAGGGACCATGCTTCTCATTGCACCCATTGCAGTACTCACCTCCACCTCCACCCACTTTACCTGTGTGCATTTGCAGGACAGCAGACACAAATTCATCCTTGCCAGCACCCTGCTGCCTCCACCAAATCCCCTGCAAGAGGGAGCAGAGCTCCGTCCAGCTACAGGATCATTCTCCTCCCAGGAGATGATGCTGCACAGCTCTGCTTTGGTGGAAAGATGTGGTCCCACCCTGCTGGGGCTGGAGCCCAGGACTGAGCACCTCGCTTACACCCAAGGGTGTTTCTCCATCCCTGCTTGCCCATCACTCACAGCATGAGGCTGCACAAACACGCTCCCAGTGCCAGGAGCACCCTGGCTCAAGAAGCCCAGCAGCAACCAGCATCCCTGTAGAAATAACCTTACACACAAGGCAGCTGGGGCTGTAGGACCCCACGAGTACCCATCTGCCAGCTCGAGCTGGCTCTGTGGTGCACAATGTGCCCCGGGCCACCTTGCCCTGCATCCATGCCAGCACCCAGGTGCTAGTAACAGCTTCTCCAGCCCTGCCTTGGGGTTGGGGTTGCTGTCAGCTGGGGTACCGCTTGCCGTTGGGAACAGCCAGCTTCCCTGATGCTGCACCTGAGCATCCCGCTTGCCAGGAGCAGGAGAGGGTAACAAGCTCATTTCCATAGTAACGGGCTCGTTACTGCACTGGCTGCTGCTAACGGGAGATAGCTCCATTCTTCCCAGCAGCTTTGTCAGCAGGGAATTGCTCATACATTGATAAATTATAATCAGATTTAAGTGTGTATTCTTAGCACCCTTAATCCCAAGCACCTGGCTTAAATTTGCACTGTGAAATGATGCAGTGTGCAAAACTAACCTGGCCTGTGGGTAACCCCTGCGTGTTCCTCCAGCCACCCCCAGAGCTCACACGGGGCCTCTGAAGAGTACTGCTGGGATGTCCACAGCCCTGCAAGAGGTACCAAGTCTTGTGGGTTACAAAATGTTTGGTGTGTGGGTCCACACATGCTTCTCTATCAGCTTGGCCCTTGCTCTGTCTGGGTGGACCACGACCATGATGAAGAGTGGGCTTTCTGCAGTACCAGAGGCAAGAAGCCACCCACCTTGAGGAGGCTGCCAAGGCTCACTGCAGGTGATGTGCCTGGTGAGATGAGAAACACTGGGGTACCTTCCCAGGCCCCTGTTGGTGAACCCACAAGGCTGCCCCTATCCCCATCCTCATCCCTATCCCATCCTCATCCCTATCCCCATCTCCACCATCTCCATCCACACCACTGTACCTGGAACCGATGCACAACCAGGGACCAGTTCATGTGTTGACAACTTGGCATTTTCCCATGCAGAAAATTACATTTAATCGTAAAAACAACAATCAGTTCAATGCTGAATATATGAAAAAAAGGCACCTTTGGCCTTCATGGTGGTGATGGAAATGGGCTTCTCACTTCATCTTGCTGCTTGCTGACTGCACTGATAGCTCTGGGCTGCTGGCTCAGTACCAGCTGGTGCACCGGCTCTTTTTCTGGGCACTTACACGCGAACCACTGGAACAAGGCAACAATGCTGAAAATGATTTGCAAGAAGTCCTGCAGAGCTGCACAGCACAGGGTGCCTATATGCAGCCAGGGCCTCCTGCACTCTCCCCGGCTCTCCCAGGGGAGGTCCCACTTCTCCTTTTGTCCCAGTTGTCAAGATGCTTCGAGTACCATTTTCTAAGTACTAGTGCTGCTACTTCTTCTTTTCTACTACCTCGCCTTTAGTGCTCTGTGTTTATTCAGAGAGCATTAAGCAAAGCTGCTTTACTTGCTGCTTTCCCCCTGTGCTGTCCTGCTCCCTGCACAGCCCCAGCTCTGACTGTAGCTGTTGCCAACAGCTTGGATGTCCACCCAGATGCCACTTTGGGTCTCAGAGTTATTCAGCCATCTGGCACATCTGACAAGCTAATTTGACTCAATGTGCCCAAAATATAGGGTTGTCCCAGCTCATATCCAAGTGTTTACTAGGGCATGCTACAGAGCAGGGGCAGGGGACAGGGTATCCCTGAAGAGCCCTACGTGATCGGTGCTCACCACGTTTCCTCCTCGGTCCCCCTCCAGTGCCCAGCAGAGGTGGTGTTAGCTTTGCTTGCCATGCCCCTGCAGAACCTGGTGGGGGTCTGGAGCATCCCTTAAACCTTCTGGTTACACAAGACACAATTCCTGGGACAAGGCTTAGTGCACTGATGGTGTAGCTAAAGTGACCCCATGAAGATACTGTCATTTGGGTCGGGTGATGGAAGATGCTGCTGACAGTCTTCAAAGAAATCCTCTTGTATTGTCCTGGCTGTTTACGAATGAGCCATCGTTGCCTCTGCTACGTCCCACCGCCTGGCTAGCTTGGTGCTCTCCATAACTAGACACAGATTTTAACTCTCTGGGGTCTCTGGGGTTAAGTTTTAAGCAGAGGAGTGGGTCAGTGACTTTGCTTCTGCACCGGTCTCCTCACTTCACAGCTAGGATATAATGGTTATTAAACTGGGCTAAGAGAAATTGGCTCCCTGAGAGGTTAAATTGCAGCAACACCTCCACAGAAAACACAGTAGGAATATTAATCCTGGGCCCATTCAATTAACTTAAAATAGTTTAACTAAAACATGGAGAAGTGGTTGTGGTTTTTTTGTTTGTTTTGTTTTGGTTTTAAATTAGAAAGTGCTATCAGGCTGAAGTACAAATTAATGGGTTCTAATTATTTCTTTCACCCAGTTTTACAGCTCCCTGGCCTCAATAACCAGCTCCCAGTCTGATCCTAATAAAAGTGCATGTGTAAATGGGTCTTCAGCATCTTGACCTTATATGTGAGGCCTGTGGGAGCCTCTTGGAGGAACAAACTCACAGGTTTTAATTAGGGCTAATGCTGGGAATCCCCTATTTGGGAGCGAGCGGCTTCAGCCTACCCCACAAATATGGAGTTTCTACTGGATTGATGCCTCCAGTGTAAATCCATCATCTGGATGGGGCTGGAGCTTGTTCTGGGTGTGTGCCTGTGTGTCCTGCTGTGGGCAGTCCTGTGTCCCCTCCGTTCAATCAGCAACAAAAGGAGAGCAGGACAGGGGGTTTTGTGGCAGGTCACCATGTGGGGTGTGCCCAAGAATCACTTCTTGCAAAAAATCTTTGTCCTACAAGATGCTCCTTCACCAGTGGAAGGGCAGAGGCTCTGTCCCCTGGGGGGATGCAATGGGTCCCTGGGGTGACACAAACCCCTGCATCTGGCTGTGCCAGGTGCATCATAGTTACATCTTCATCCCAACACAAACTGAACAAGGACATGAGGTGACCTTGATCCATGTTACCTCCTCCAGCGCCGCTGCTGGTGCCATGCCTTGTGCCAGCATCACAGTGGTGAAGCACAGGCTATAGCTTTTTGGCAATAATGACAAACATGACACCCAGAAAGAGTAGGATTATGGAATAAGGGAAAGGCACCATCTAGCAAAAGTAACCTGTTCTGTCTGCTTCACCAGATTGATTGCATTTGACCCACTGCTCTTCTTCCCACTTCTCACACACTGCTGCTGACAGCATCACTGCCTGGAGGAGCGATCTGTAAGCTGCTTCTGAATTAGAGAAGAAAGCAGAAACCCCAGCAAAGCAAATGAGCCAGCCAGGCAGCCCTGCTGCTGAAAGTGTCCTTTAGCCAAAGGGAACCAATTTTTCACTTAACGGTTACAAATGTTTCAAGAATGCCAGGAGAAGTGGATTAGAAGGTGAGACATGTTCCTGAAATGTGTGAAGGACACTGATAATTAATAAGAGCTTTGCCAAGGAGACTGAGAGCTACTATGGGGAAACTCAAGACATCCTTAACACTGCAGATGATGAGTATCAAACAGTAACAATAACAAGGCAGCAAACAGGTCTTCCAATATTGCTATCTAGCACCAGACAAAACTAAGATAGGCTGCAGGCAACTTCTCAGGCTGCTCTATTAAATCAAAGTACATTTGTTTTTTTATGTTGGTCCGCTTGTTCCATAGTCATCTGGGCTGTCTGGTCCAAAATGAAAGTCCAGGTCTATAAAAAAAAATGCTGAATTTCCAGAAATGACCAGACAATGCTGTATATGTGCAAATGCTTGATACTACTATTACTGAAGCTGTGCCATGTAGGGAAAGAAGAGAGTAAGAGCAGATCTTCGACTGGCTACACTGTGCAGGCTTGTGTACAGCGGGGTGCTGTGGGAGGGCTGCGATGCCTGGTGCTATGGCAGGCACAGAATAAATGGTGCTCAGTAGGTTGGGTTTGCTCTGAGGTGACAGTTGCTGCATACAAAGAGGAGACAACTGGAAAAAAAATGGCTGTGAGATACACCAGCAGCACTTCCCACAACGAGTTCCCCTACAGAAAAATGAAGAGCTTGCACTGTGCAGAAGAGAGAAAAAACAGCTTTGTCCAACACTGAACCAACAGTAACTGCTGGGATTAAGCAGCGTGTATTGTGTGGCAGCACACAACAAAACAGCTTAGAAAAGGAGAAATTTATGCTAAGCAATCAGAGAACAAATGCACAATTAGGAGGGTGGACAGGGCAGAAGCTGCACTGTGTTCGTGTATGGATCATGCCCCTGGGCTGGGCTCTGCCCCACACTGCTCAGCTCACCACAGGTGTTTTGGAAGTGCTGACTTCTGCACCACTGTCAGAATTGACATGATGCTCAGAGGCATAAGGTGTTTTTGTCATCACTTGGCTGGTTTTAATTGCTTCAGTACAATTTGGGAAGTCCCACCTTTATGCCTCTCTTACCTTTATCGTGGAGTTACATTAAGATTTACATTAAGCAGAGTTGTTGTAGAGTATAAATAGCAGAATATGGGGCTCTGTTTAGGAGCATAATGGTGGTTTTGGGGACTGCACTTCCCTTTGTGCTAAATGAAGCCAGAAGAGCAGAGCAAGCAGGATCTTTCCCATCCTGCAGTGTGCTTGTCTGTGAGATTTGAACCAAAATGACAATGCCTGCAAAAGCTATGTGATCAGAGAACACAAAAGAAAGAAAAAGCCAAATGAAGTCAGAAAAAACATTTCATTTTGATAATCATGGAATAATCTTTGGGTTTTCATTCTGACCTCTGTTAAATCAGGTTAAGTTTGTTGCTGTCTTTTAGCTCATATTTAGAAACTGGAAGTTGCTGTGACATCAGGACCAGGACATTCTTATTTGGAAGACAATTAACATTAACCAAGCAATTTTTTCCCCAGTGAGAAATTCACATAAGGCAGGATAAATTCATCTGTGCAGGTAAAAGTTTGATTTGTCAAACTGACAGTTTCTAAGGAGAAGTAAAAATTACAAATTAAGCTGCCAGAAATCATTGTGTTCTGTTCATTGCCAGAAATCAACAAGGTACTGGGGCTGACACGCAGGCTGGCCACATCTAAAGATGCAGCCATCGACACCAGTCTGCCTGGCAGCGCTGCCCAGTGACTTGCAGGCCCCCAAGCAGCTGCACACCCAAAGAATCTGGTTTTCAGGATTTTACAACCTCCCCACAGCTTGTAGGAACTGGAGTCCTTCTGAAGTCCATCCCCTCTGCCCTCCAAAGCCGACGGCTCAGATTATCTCACATTAGCTGAGAGCATCGGTGACTGTGAGACTTCTTTTGGTTGTCATGGATCTTTACTGACAATTCTAAAGCCCTGAAGAAAGTTGGTGAATATTTAATTCAACCAGAGACAGAAACACATTAGCAAGCTCCCCTCCACTGTTGCACTTCAGTTCAGTAAGTCAAGAGCAGAGCACATGAAAAATCAACATTTGTGAATCCAAGACTGAAAAGATGTGAAGAAATAATGTAAGTGATTTTAATATTTTCTGATTTGTTTCTCTATGTCATACCGAGCTAGGATGTGAATTTGTCTTTTATTTTATTTGCATTTTAAAATAATTTTATATAACAGTTCACTTTCCACAGAATGTCCACTGTTTGAAAACAAGATTAATTCAGCTAAGAACTGTGAGGTAGAAAGTTCAATTAAAGCCTGGAGTAACTGTTGAGTTACTCTGTTGCGAGGAGTACATGATTTTTTCCTTGCCCTGGTAAAAACAAGGTGATCAATTCTGAAGTCCCCTCCAGTGATTCGCTTGGCATTTGCTAGCTCTTGCCAGCTACCAATATGCTAGAGCAGAGAAGTAAGAAAATACAAATCAGCTGTCACCACAAAAAAATAAAATTCAGGAAAGTAATTTTAATGCATGACTCAGAACAGCAGGTCTACAGCAAGGAGGGAGGCATGGAGTGCTCACACCTCAAAACTGGGAAAAATGAGGATCTTTGGTGGTGCTTACTCCCAGGCTGCAGAAAAGCTCGGGAGGCCACAGGGTCTCTGGGCCTTAATGCCCATGAAACACAGTTTAGCACAAGAGGAGGCATACCTGTGTCCAGGTAAAATGGAGGAAGAGCATTGGTGATAAACTCAGGTTTGCGATGAGAAGGGACAATGCATTTTGGTGGCAGCTCTATGAGCTCCACATCAGATGCCCAGTGTGCTTGAGCCCACTGGCAGTGTGCTGGAAACCCTTCCAGGAACCATCTCTTCATCTGACAAGTGCCCCACCAGGGCTCTGGGGCAGGTCTCTCCTTGGGTGGTGTAGAGGACTGTGACTCAAAGCAGAGGGCATTCGGCATGTAACTAATATGGAGCACATTCTTTCATTAGCTTGTCTGAACTGCTTAACTGCCAGATTTATCCATGCCATATCGCAACACAGAGATGCCTTTGGATGTTTCAGGGTGTCTTTCATTGCAGCTCTCATCATGAGTCTCTTGGCAAGTGGTGAAGAGTTGGGCAAGTGTGCTGGAGGGTTAATGCAGATTCTGCAAACCCTAGGCTTGCTCCAGTCTCCATGACCCATATTTGCATGAAGTGGAACTGTGGTGTATGGTAATGTAAATTGAAAACAGTTCTCAGCGATGTCTCCCCTGCCCCAGCAGTGGGTGCTGATGGGGTTTTGTGTAGTGCTGTTAATGGTCCTGGAGATTCAGCCAAATCCCAGCCCTGAGCTCCTGATCTCATAAGGCGCAGTCCCAGCACAGTAACGTCACATCTGACCTAGGTCTCTGAGATCGGGCTGCTAATTGTACTTAAGTTATGCATGAATTAGAGAAATATTTAGCTCAGTGATGCTTGAGGACTCTTCTCATGCTAAAATAAACTGTCACATGGTAGCTCATCTCCCAGATCCAGCAAACAGTGCTTTCTGGTGTGGCTGCTGGAGCTGTGCTCAAAGCACTCCAGGACGTAGCAAACCCTGGGACAGGGCCTGGGCAGCAAACCATATCCACATCTCAGATTGAAAACCAACATTCTGAAGAAGGCTCCAGGGAGTCTTTCAATGCAGTTTTTTAATTATTATTTTTTTTTAATGTACTCTTTCAATGCACTGAGGAGGCTTGTAAGGAAGACAGAAAGACTTTTTACCAGGGTCTACAGTGACAGAGGGTTGGACTAAATGATCTTTAAGTGTCCCTTCCAACCCAAACCATTCTATGGTTCTTTGATTAATGGGTTTGTCACTTACCAGAATCCAAGTCCTGTCCCCAGAAATCCTTGCCAGCTGCTGGAAAGCCAGTGCCATGATAAGCTACGCTACCAACACTTCCCTGGGCATGGCAGAACAGTTCTGCTTAAGAAGACTGTGCTTTGCTGATGCATTTATGTTCATTTCCATGGCTAACCCAGGAATATGGCATACAACCAGACTGTACATGTGTCAGTCTGCAAGGTGAAATGACAGCACACACTCCCGACGATGTGTGTCTCTAGTTTTACCTCTCATGCTAAACTTTTTGGCTCCATGCACTGAAACCAGGCAGTTTTCCAAAATGCTCACTCTCTTCCTCAAACCACAATGTGAAGCCTTTTGTCAGTGTTGAGAAATGCACTGAAATCAAAAGGCAGCTGATCATTCTAGTGATACAGAGCAAGGAAAACACAATCCTGTTCCACCGTGGTGACAGTTACGCAGAAATATTTGGATAATTAGTTTCGGTTCAAAGCTATCTCTGACAGGATTAGGTGATTCACTAAGAAAGGGCCACTTCCTATTTTAAAAAGGTGACATCAAATTTTTTTAGGTGTACCATAAACCACCTAAGACATGGCAATCCACAAAGAAGACTCAGGGAAAAACACAGCCAGAGAAGCAGCAGCCCTGTGTACCATGCACAAAGCTGTGACGCACAGTCCTGTCCCATGACACTTTCTGTAGGGACAATGCACATCTCATCCATGAATAGATCATCCATCTGCACACCGTAAGGACTTTCCTCTTGGGAAAACAACTGTGGCTTTGAACAAGCCAAATAAGAAGATGTGCAAACTTACTGTGTACAAAAAAATAATGCCAAGTCTGCTGCCTGCGTATCCCTGATTGTCACACATTATCTTACATGAGAAACTACAGGGAAAATCACTGAACAACCAGCACTGGTTTCCTAACTTGGAAAAAAAGATATATTCCCTGGGCTTTTTTGCCATCCAACTTTCAACGATTCCTCAATCTTACCAAGCCTTTGACCAAAACAAAGTTCCCTCTGGCCAATGCACCTCATCCAAAGGCAGACCAGGAACCACAAAACAATGAAAACTCACCCTAGTCCCCATCCACCACTACCAACTCCCTGGGGGCAGAGCCACAACTGCTCTCCATGCACCCCCCCATCCATGCGATACTTCATTTCCAAGGCTCAGGAACTAAAATTCATAAAATTCTGGATATGGAAAACAATGGACCCAGTAGAAGCATTCATTTTATGACACCGTACAATTTTCCTCACTCACTGCTTTCTGCTGACACCAGACCATTCAGCTGTCAGTATCTCCCCATCTTTCCCTGTCCCATAGGACTAAGGACGTTTTCTCTGGCCTCAGTGAAGCCTTCTTTGCAGTACAGGTACCAAACTCCATTTTCTCATCAAATTATGAAATGGATTAATATAATGAAACTGTTTCCAACCTCTGTTTCACAGCTCCTGTTTCATCTCTGAAGAAGGGCATGTATCTTCAAAACCTTGATCATTTTTTCCCCAGCATTTGGTCTAATAGAAAATGTTACTGATCCATGAAAACTCTGTCTCCTTTCTAAACCCTGATTTCATTAAAACTTCATCAACTGGAGACCTAGCAGTGAGAGGGAGAGATGCAGCTGGGCTTTGCTTCCAACATAGACCTGGCAGGCTGACTCATGAACTGACTGCAGTCACCCCAGGAAGACAGTGTGAAAAATAACATCTATTTATCTGACTGATTTAGATCCTGGAAAAAGGGTCTGCTGTGATGGATACCAGCAACACCACAAGCTTTGGGCTCATCGTTTGCTCAGAAGGGACATTGGTTTCATTAGTCCTCGAATCTAGTTTCTTCACAAATGTTAATGTTTAATTATTTGTCCAAGAGCCTTGGCTCAATATCAGCAGAATTGTCCCATCCCATCTGCTACAGAAGTGCCTTCTTTTAACAGATAACAGACTTTAAAGAGAGACTAAAATCAGTGCTGCAGCTCTTGGTCATAGGTGCGACCAGGCTGGGACTTGTAAAGCAAAGATACCCATTTGCCTTTCATTCAGTCCTGAATGTTTTTGCAGCTCCATCTGCTTAGGACAACATTGCACTCAAATTCATAAGTCAAATGGGACTGCTGATGTCTCCTGGGGTATTCAGGATCCTAACATATGCTCCAAATGTGCATCTGTTTGCATGGAGGTGTAGTTGCACTTGTCCTGGGATTTATCTTGAACTTTGCCCATTTGTCTTAATGAATGCTGCAAACATTGCTGCATTATGTGCTCCAGCACAATACCTTTTCAGGATTATTTGGTCAGCCTTAATGAAAACCTCAGCTTTTAGGGATGAGCCACCTCTCTGCTTGGCTGCAGAAGCACCTTTTTGACCTTCCCGCTCCCTTCCTTGCCTGGCTTCATGCTTCACCATAGGCTCCAGAAGGTCCTTTCCTCCTCTTCCCTGCTGCCATGAGCTCCATCGCTGTGCTGCAGCAGTTTCCCCAGCACAGCCCATGAACAGGAGCTGCCCAAAGACTGGCAACCATAAGAAATGATGTCTGGCAGGACAGCCCTGACTGTAGAAAGGGGCTTTTGGGTGGGCAGGGAGCTGCTGCCTGCTCAGGGAGATGCATGGAGCCCCTCTGCAGGAGCGCTTCCTGCACTGAGGGGGTGAAATGCAGATTTGGTGAGAGATGAAAAAAGGGGAGAATGTTTTCACTTAGTAATGTGCCATGCTCCCCTGCAATGTAGGAGATGCAGCTACATGAGTACTTCCATTCAGGCACTGGCTGAGTTAGGGATGCGTTTATTTTCACCAAACACATTTCCAGGTTAAAAGCTGTTTGAAAGGGATGCAATTAACAGAGTGCAAACACTATGCCTAGAGAGGAAGATCTTTAACCCAACAAAGTCCAAATAATCAGTTTAAAGACACCTCTCTGAAATGCAGTTACATTGCTCTGAAAGCGCAGCATCACCTATTGCCAAAATTAGCTACATGGAAGTCAGGTTTGTTATACCCCTGTAGTAGAGCTGCTCAGTGGCTTGCATCAAGCTGACTACTTCAGGCTCTTAACAGCTAGAGACCAATCAATACCAAAAATATTTGCTGGTAGCTTCCAGGCATGTGTATTTCTGCACATTCAGGCTGCAGAATTACCTTTGCTGATCTATTAGTTATTTGGCTACCATGAACACCAACTAACACCACACAATGTCCAGCAAAGAACTTTCCCACTGATTAACCTTCAGGAGCAAGCATTTATCTCACCACTGTCACAGGACCACAAACACATGGTTTTCTGTTGACTTGTGCCCTGCCCACCAAAGCCAAATGCTGTCCAGGTGGCCAAGCTCACCTCAGGAAGCGGGATGGTGCCATCAGTCTGGTAACAGACGTGCAGCCCTGCAAGGCCTGAGCTAAGGAGCTAAAAAAGGGCCAGGGCAACTCATTTCACAGCAACGCCTAAATGACACTTTAGGCCTGAATGAAACCCAAGCAACAGGGGCTTCTTTACTATAGCTGCAACCAAATTTATTTTTTTCCTTACTCGAGACAAGGCCAAGCACAGGCAGCTAAGGTGGGAGGATTTCACGCACATCCCTCACCTGGTTGCCTCCCAGCAGTTTTCTTTAAGCTTTCAGACTCACCGAGGCTGATATTCCTGGTCTTTTTCCTGATCAATCTTCCCTTCCTCCCCCATGGTATCTCCCCAGCTTCCAAGAGTAAGGGCAGGAAGGGGCATTTATAATACGAGTGCATGAGGACCTGCTGGCTAGCTGCCGCGAGTTCATCTTGCTGCAAATCAATGCCAGGCATGTCCCTGTCATTGCTGGTGTTTATTTGCACTGCAGTAGCCCCCAGAGACAGCAATCAGGAACAGCAGCACACGGGAGAGAAGCCTCCCCCAGCACAGCAATTCACAGACTTTACAGAGCTCCAAAACAGTCTCTGCATGCTGCTGGTTAATGGCAAGTCACAGGGACAAGGACACTAATGACCCAAGCAGGTCAAGACAGCAATGCGTGTACAGCCATCAGCACACATGGGCACTGCCACCCCTGCCAGTAAAGTTCAAGCTCTCTGCACCCTTTGCTGCAGATGTTTTGATGAATTTGAAGCTTCTTCCTGCACCGGGGGCTCTTTTGCAGAGGTTGAACCCTGCTCACAATGCCCAAGTGCATTGCAAAATTTTTCGTAAAAGCAGAAAATCTCCTTCATTCCAAATGCCCCATGTTTTCCTGGTGGGAAAGTGATGCACAAGATTCTGCATCCAAGTAACTGCTGGAGAGAGTGAATAAATACCGTGGAGCTGGATCCACATGGCAGCTGTCACCAGGGGTCATGCTGCAGGGCGCCACCACCAACATCACCTGCAGGCTGCATCACGGCAGCGTGGGCAGGACACAACTAGTGGCAGTGCCAGTGCAGACTGCCCAGGCCTGGTCAGAGTTTGAAGAAAAACCTCTCTGTGTCACATTTCAAGTTTTTTTGTTTTCCCTTCTCATGAAGACACTTCAAAAAAATGGATTTTCCTGCAGGAATGCTGTTGTCCCTGGCCAGCTGTTCCACCTGATTGACTCCTGTCAGCCTGTCAACTCTGATGCCTTCTGGAGTGCTTCATCCATGTGGTATTACTTTGAAATACCTCAGCAGAGAAAAAGCCTTATATAGCCAGATTTTGACTAGCTAATTTTTCTGACTTACTCCTTCCTGTTTGGCAGAGCCAAAGCAAGGGGCAGGAGAAGCCATGGGTTGCTGCCCGTGGGGCATCCCCACACTACATGCTTCGTGGTCCTGCACCAATTTCTTGGGACGACCCATTCTGTGCTGCCCTGAAACATTCATTTCCCAACAGCTGATTTCACAAAGTGTGTATAATGAAAAACAAAAGGAAATGAACAATTGAAAACATACTGAATGCAGCTGCCCTTTGGTAACTTGGGCCATGACAGCTGTGCAGACCACTGCTGGTGGTTGTGACCATCAACTGGTCTCGCTGTCACTTGAGTTATGAGGCTGAAACATTTGTTCCCTAATTGAGTATGTCAAATGCACCTGGATGTTATCAGATAGGTGAAATGAAAAGACTCTGCCATGTGTCTGTAGCTTAAGCATTAAAATTGCTCAGTTTCCACTGATGTATTTTTTTCCAGTAAAGGAAATGTGACTTCTTCAGAAAAAATGCTCAAATTTTGCATCCCATTAATGCCACTCTGTATTTCTTCCAGGTTTTATGAACAAGCTCCTCATGCATTAGACTAAGACCAAAAAGGCCAACCCTTCCCGGACCAAGGACCATGATTTGGGTACAGACACACTTTTTGGTAGAGATACTTTTTTTGTAGTGCTCTTATGCAAAGGGGGACAACAGCAGAGAGGCTGGGACCCCCCTCAACCCACTTGCATCATCCAGGACAAACAGAATCAACTTTCTATTTGCAACAAAAGAATTGAGCTTTGTCTTCCTGACTACACAGCTGTTTCCAAAGGCCATGCTGGAGATGTAGTCATTGGAGATGATTTCAACAGTAAGGTTACATTTGGGGCTGAATATTTGTCACCACCATTCATCCTCATTGTGTGTGTGTGTGTGTGGTTGTTTACTTTTTGTTTGTTTGTTTTCTTTTGTTCTTTTCCTATGTGGCTGATAAAATAAAATTTACATATAAGTAATAGAAGTTCATAGCAGACTCTGCCACCTTCCTTATTAAATATTTTCTTTCCCCCTGCATGCTGTGTTTGGAGAAGTTTGATGTTCTTGCTAATTCTCCAGGGAAAAAGCTGGTAAAAGCTGCAGGGAAGTGAGCTTGGCTGAAGCTGTCTCCCCATGAGCTTGCTAGTGTAGAGGCACACAGCTTAGTGACAAGCTGAGCCCATTGGCAACTGCACGGCCTATTGCTCTCTGTGTGCATACGGATGTACACATATACATCATAACTGAATATAATTAAAATAATTTTAAGTAGTTTGCAGTATTCATGCATAATTCTCAAATTAAGTTGGGAGGAGAAAAGCTATTAGAGTTGACACATCAACATAATACGCTTTGAGCAGGAATAAAATCCAATTTCGAATTTATACATTATGTCAGTTAGTGAAATAATGGGTATAACTGAGATGCACAGGATCTGGGAGAGCAAAAAGCCAAGAAAAAGTGCAAAATGCCCTGGAAAAAGACAGGACAGAGCAACTCAGGAAGAGGCATTGCCATTAGCTGGCCTTTGTTATTGCTAACACAGGCTTCCTAAAATTAACGGGGGCATGGAGAGTCCTGGTGAGTTTATGAAAATTCAGGAACTGGATCCTGTCAAGCTATATAAATTTGACAGGCCTCCATCAAGAAAATGTTATCGTTCCTTAGACTGGCCCTGCAAACAGCTTAGATAAATTTCCTTGAGCTAATTGCTTTTTAATAGCTTGTTGTGTGAGTGCTAGCTCATTAGAAGTCATACCGCTTTGTGAAAACACATCTGAGATAATCCTACAGGTGATAAATGGTTTTAGGAACAAAGGAGTTTATAGCAGACTGTGGCTTTCCAAATCTTCTGGTAATCTAAAATGCCATGACAAGCAACATCATGGAGGCAGACCATTATGTTGCCTTGAGACGCACAGAAATAATACATTATGTGTCAACTGCCAAGGTAGCTTTGGGCATTTTGTTGGTGGCCATGCTCTGATTTGAAAGTAATAGCTTTCCTTTTTTTTTTTTTATTTCTTGCAGATTTCTCTCAAACACCATTGTTTTGGCAGAGATGGACAGCAAGACACACTGCAAAATGGGACCTAAGTGGTGTAGCAGAGATGCATGAAGCTGCTTTCCAAGAACACAGTGGTGCGTCCAGCTTCAGGTCATGTGTGTCTCCAGGACAGGGACATACAAGCAACAAATGCAAGTGAATGGAAGTTTTGTTCAAACCTTCCATGCAGCCTATCAGTCTGTGTGGGTCATGCCAAAACCACGTTAACTGGCCATTTTCTTTGCTTGCCTTTCCATACTGAGTTTCAGCCCACCAGAAGCTCTGCAGAAGCTGAAGCCTTTGCTGCCAGAAGAGCCCAGGTACCTTTTGGCATGAAGGCATGCTTGCCCCTGGGTCTGGCTCAGTTGTGTGCTCCCCTATGCTCTTCCCAAATCTCAGCATTTGCTGCATTGAGCATGAACTGCTTTCTCCCTGGACCCAACATGAGTCAAACAGGTGACATCTGCTGAATGTTTTCACTAGAACTTCAAGCAACTCCCACTTTTATGTTTTTTAAATCATATTCATGCTGCTAAGCTGCTGGTGACTCAGATCATAGTAAGGCCATTGAAAGCTTTTCATAGGAACCAGGTAATGGTCTTTCTTGTTCCACGCTACATACGTACATGCTTATGTGGTGTAAAATGTACCACAGCTTCACTCCTGAAGAGCTGCTGGAAGGAGGGCAACCTTCCCATGGGCACACGACCAGTCTGTAATACATTTTTCATTCCCTCTTTTGAGTTGCCAGAGAAGAGAGAAAGAAGAGAGAAAAAAGGAAGATGTCTTGACAATACAAAATTCAAGCTTGTTGAGTTTAATTATAAGTATTTTGGGCTCTGCAAATACCTCCACCTTTAGTAACAAAGCAGCCAATATTCAGGAGCTTCTGCCAAGTTTCAACTGGCTGAGCAGTGCTGCATAGCCTGCTCTTGCATTAGGAGCCACATCTACTGTCACCTGGAACTTATCAGCTGAAGGCTCTCATTGTGACTGCTAAACCCTATTTCCAGTCAATAAAATACAGAGGGAAGCATTTAGGAGCTAGCTAGGCTCCTCTGAAAGCTTTTTTACTTGGAAAGAACAGAGCTCTCCAAGGAAGCCTTCACAGTCTCTATGTCCAAGGGAGCAAGAAGATGACATGAGGTCTTTGCGGTTGTCTCCACGTAAGACTGGTGTTTGCTTACTTATAACTCCTCTGACACCTTGAAAGCTTCAGTTTAAGCAAACGTAGACCTCAATGCAGCCTCAATAGAGTCAAAACTAGACTTCGGACTCAAGTACTTCAGGATCACCTACAGGTCTGGGCACTGAGCTGTAGCCCTGTTCTATCAACATTTCTTGGCACAAGCTTTCCATGTTATCTTTACTGCCAGTAGTAGGAGCCATAGCCAATCTGTTTAGCATTAAGAATGGCTGTTGGCTGTGAAATGTGTGATTTGCAGTCTGCAGATGAAATTCAGCCCTGCAGCCTTTTCTTTCATTTTCTTTCATTTACTGGGCAGAGCTGCATCTTACTGGGGAAAGCATCACAGGAAGAATCAGGACTGTGCCTGGCTGTGGCTGGGTTGCTAGAAGTATGAGATCCCAGTCACAGTGCTGATGGTGATGCCAATGGGGAAGCACGGGATGGCTAACAAAGCTTCCTGGGCTCCTGAGCACTGCGGGCTCACCGTCCACTGGAAAATACCAACAAAACATGTGAGAGTATCCAGTGGTTAATGCAGAGCCATCTCCTGGGGCTGGCTCAGCACATCCATGTTGTTCACAGGTTGCAGCACTGGGGCTGGTGCTGTGGTTCCATCACCAGCAACAATCACAGCAACCACAGCATGTAGCAAATCCCTCCCTTAATGCTATCCCATTTCTTTTTGCTTCAGCCTTGGCTAAGACTTGTTCCCAGGTGGTGGTTTGTGGCAACTTACTAGGACACAGAATTTGCTGAACCACAGAACAACAGGAAAGGTATAAGGAATCCCAAGAAATCACTAGTCTCAATAAATTTGAAATTGATTGTATAAAAATAAAAAGTGACTGCTTAAATTAGAGTTTTCTGTTGACTCTAGGAAGATTAATTAGTTTTTTCCCACACATTTAGATGCTAATGTTGAAATCTGTCATGCTGGTGCCATCCTGGGTCAGTGGTGGGGTTCAAAGGTCTACAAGATATAAATTCTTTAGGGAATATTGAATACTGACATAAGAAATCATGAATACTGAAAGATGAAGTACTTGCTTTCAAGGAATGTAAGTGCTCGTGATCTCCGCTGATGGCAGTGGGAGCTATGGAGCCTGAACTGCCAAAACTCACACTAGCACAGCTGTAATTTGCTTTTTTCTCATAGCGCTTTACAAAAAAGAGACACAGCTATTAAAGGATTTGCTTAAAGGGAGACAAAGTAGAAATGCCAGGCTGGACTCCTCACATCAATCCACAAGCTCTGCTTTTTGTTTTGTTAGTTAAAAACTGCTATCTAGTGCTGCCCTCCAATGCCAGAAGTAAGGATGGTATTGCCCCAAGAGCAAATTGCTTGCTTTTATTGCTCCCTAAACTGCCATATTAGCTTTGGGAAGAAGCTCTCCTACACGTGGAATCTATGGATGGATGTGTTTCTATGTGTGAACAGGTCAAAAGTAGATGTCAGGCAAATACCTTACCTTTAGTGCCAGATGGAAGAGAGACACTGACTGAATAATGTGCCAAGTTGTTTTCTGAAGTCTTGTCAACTTGTAGCACACAAAACACTCGCTATCAAGAATTTCCACAGCTTAATACCACGTTTCAGGAGAAATCCTCTCCTTTTTCTTTTTTCTTGATCCTTTTTCTGAAACCACCTTTTATCATTTCATTTGTGTCCTTCTCAGATCGTTATCATTCTTCAGACTTCAAACATACCCTCCCAGTTATCTGTTTTCCTGCCTGACATCCAGTTGAGGAGCCACCACCCCTGAAATTTGTGGTCTTTCTCCTTGCCATTCTCTGATTCCACCATCTCCCTTCTCAGATATGTTGGAGCAGAACCCAAAGGCATCCAAGATGTGATTGCACCACTAATTCACACCAGCGTAATGACGAGCTCTGTTTCTTTCACTGTTTCTTTCTGAAAATTTCCTATCTTTCCACTTGCTGTTTTGACTGCTGCTGAGGGTTGAGCTGACATTCTCAGAGATCTATCTGTTATAAATAACTTGAAGAGCTCATTCCTGAGTGGTAACAGCCAGCTTAGAGCTCCAAAGACACCCGATATGGAAAAGGTTGGGTGAAACTCAGAGTTTTCTTATTTTTATCACACAAGGTGGGTTATAGATTATCAGCAACAAGGAGATAAACTTTCTTCTACTGGCCTTGCAGAAGCCACTGCAGATCCAGCCTCTGTATGGGACTTGTACTAGTGAAGGCTCCAACTGGCACAGTGCTGATTTTCAGCCTACCAGTATGTGCTTTTCTTAACATTGTTCTCAGGGATCTAAGAAGACAGTGAAGCCATCAGGATGGCAAATCTGGGACAGGAGGCACCACATACGAAACAGGACTGCCCCCCCTTCTTCTGGATGAATTAGCACCTTTAAGAGAAAGAAACGAGCCAAGCACCTTCCTTAATGTCTCCATACTGTCCCACATCAGCAAACTCTCAGGCTTGTATCCAAACAACATCATGACCAGCTTGATGATGGCGATGAGGTTGTTCGAGCTCTGCTCAGGTAGAATGAGGCAGCTCATCATCCACTGCCTCGAGTGGCCTTCACTGCCAACAATTCAACTTCTAGCTGGTTTTACCATGAAAGACCACACAGAATACATGAAAAGAAAGACCTAGGGTTGAGAACCACCCTTGTCAAACTGCAGGTAAATGCTGAAAAGTATGAAAAGTGTGTTTGCTTGATTTGCAGAGCTCATACTTATTTCTGGTTTGACACCAGAATGTCAACAGTTGATGAAATAAAGCAGAACCAAATGACAAGAGTTTAAACAGCTGCCAAATGCTGGGGGGAATATTAGTCTGTGTCCCCCTCTAGGAGGCCTTTGTCACCTTGGCCAATCTGCCAACTCCATGGGAGGTAAAAACATGGTGGCATCTAATGCTTCCAGGCTGGCTCCCTAAATTTCTCCAAGTTGTCTGCAAGCTCCTGAGCAATTGCATCAAAACGTTTGTGCTGGACTTGGGGTGTTGGGAGCATCCAAGCAGCCCTGAAGAAGAAATTTCTGTCAAGGCTGCAAAAATGGCAGTAAATTGGTAAATACCCTTCATACTCTTACTCTCATCAGTCTCCCTGGTTCATTGCTGCTACTTTCAGAATGCTAAAGGAAGGTCCATGCAAACTAGAGAAGAACAGACTCTTTTCACTGTTCTACAGATCCTGGACCAGCATTAACCACAATCCTAAACCAGGTATCGGTGTGCAGGCATCCACGTTGCCTGCTGTTTTACTCCCAAACTGAACTCCTGTATGCTACAACCACAGAGTAACGATGTTGAAAACCAATGAAAACACAGTCCCTCCCTCACTCCAGAAAACAGCTTGGCCAGTGGCAAGTGTCTTCAGGTAGGCAAATCAGCCACCATCACCCAAGACACACCTGTTCTCACTAGCTTGAGGCTTCTATTGTGGCACAAACCTGGAGGAAAACATTCTGAGCTGCCATGAAAAGAACTGCAATCCAAGTATAGGTCCAGCCTATGTTCATCAGAAACATAAATGCTGCTGTGGCAAGCCTAGGAACCCCCTTGCTCCACTACCCAAAAAAACATGCTCCACCAATGCTCTGCTCCCTTTCTCAGAATTACAGAATCACAATCTGATTGAGGTTGGCAGTGATGTCTAGAGGTCATCTGGTCCAGCCCCCTGCTAAAGCAGGGCCACCTACTGCAGGTTGCCCAGGTCCATGGCCAGGAAGATTTAAGATTTCTAAGGAGTGATGTGGTGTCTAGACATTCAGGTATTTCCCTTCCTCCAACACTTGCTTTATGATTTGAATTCTGATTCTTCAGGCTTTTAAAACAGTACAAACATTGGTGTCCTCCACCATCTTCTGCCTCACACAGGTGAGTGTTTATTAATACTCAACACAGCATCAATGGGATTCACCACTTAAGGAAAAGCTGATGTATCTAAAGCAAATGTGTCTAAAGAATCTGTAGAGCAGCCAAATGCAAGTAGGCATGGCACAAGGAAGCGATTTTAACTATGAATTAACATATGCAATGGATTAGGAGTCAGGATTCCCATCTTCCCTGGTGCATCATCATAGAGGAATAGAGGCCTCCCCTCACTGCACAGGTGCATGGTGCACAGTAAGATCTGCTCTGAGATCACTGCTGATTTTGAGAGGACTGGGAGTGGTTCCAACTGCAGCTTCTTGCAAAACTGACTGATCCCTCAGTTTGCATACTTTAATACCTACTGTACCTGATTTTGCCAAGTGCTTTTACCACAGCATTTGGATATCAACAACTCTCCTGTTGGGACTTCAAAAAGAATCCTCAAGAAGCCACGCACCTTTCATGCAGAAGGTAGGTCTGCTCCTGAAAAGCAGGTCTAAGTTTGTAGCTGTTGCATGCAGGCACACCACAACCCTTCTCACTCTGCTGGGTGCCTGCTGTTGGAACACTGCAGAGTCGTGGGGCTGCAGAGAAATTTGGGGGTCAAATCAGCACAGCAATAGCCAGGCTGCTGCAGAAATCTCAACCAACAGAGTGTATCAGCAGTCATGCAAAGCTGTGCATCATTTTGGGCAGCAGTTTTCATGTGGGGAAGACTTTGATCACAGCAGATGCCAGCTGAGAGTAGCTTTTCATGTAAATGTGCTATTTAAGAAATGTGCTACCTTGACAGGCCAAGAATCCAAGCCTTGACTTTGAAAGCACATCTGGATTTCATTGAGATCTTTTCAGTACACTAAGCTACATTTTACATTTTATTTGAATCCAGGAACTGTTGAGCCAAAGAAACGTTTTGGAGAACTGTGCCCTTTTCCTGCTGAGAGGAGGGAAGAGCATCTTAATAGTTAGTGGAAATTATTTCTCTTGTTGACAACTAACAGGAAAACCCGACACCACCTGCTCCTTTTTGTCTAATTATCCTTAGAAATTTGGATCATTTGCCTCCTTCATGAATGGATAATAATGATCATTGATGTGAACCCTTCAGCTTGTCATGTTGTGTTATTCTGTATGAGAAACCAACCTGAACCATCTCTTCAGTTAAAAGGTCTCAAAGTTTATGGGGTTCCAAAACAATTCCATTTTGAAAATGTGCTATTTCATACTTTTGACTAAAAGTCAAATTTCCTACTGAAAATGCAAGGAAGGAACCAGATTGTTTGTCAATTTTTATTTTGGTGGAGTATTTCTTTGTTCAGCCAGGGGAAACATCTTGCCACAAGCTTTAGTTACTGCCTCAAATTCAGTATGGTAGGTCTGAAATTCCCTAAATGTCCCACATTAGGCTGTGATCACTCTTGCATCTGAACTGACAGCTGTTTCATTGCTGAGTTTGACTGGACTGGAAATAGGCAAGGACAAAATAGGAGTGAATTGTGAAATTATTTTTTTGTTGGTGCTATGAAAGTGGAAAATAGATATTATATATATAAAAGCCAAACATAAAATCATGAAATCAAGACTGAATGCTTAGCTAATAAGTTGATTTTGCATTTTCAGTATGTCTTCAAGAAAATAATAGCTAGGGATTGGGGGGGGGGGGGTGTTTTTACAACTTCTATGATTATCTGAGACTGCTTCCCTGCTTGGCACTCCTTCTGAGAACTTCTTACTTCATACGCAATTCCACATGCACACAAAAATAAACCAAAGATAGAGGAAATCTCAGCCAAAGCAGTAGCAAAAAGCACCCAAGCAGCAAAGCAAAGCAGCTAAATGCTTTGCAATAAGGACTGGAAGAGGACAGATCAAGCCTCCCCATGTGGGCCAAGGTTAAAGAAGGCGCTGCAGCAGGAAGAAAACCATGTGCCTGCATTGTTTTGTTTATCTGAAATTGCTTTCCACACATTAAAACAAGGCGTTGATCTCTGTAGGGCTGGATTTAAGGAAAATCACAAAGGCAACACTTACCCTCAAGAGTAAGCAAGAGAAAGGAACAAAATCAAATCTGCAAATGTGGAACATTTTTTTTTTTTTCCCAGCAACCGATGTTTCTTGGTTAAAAGACAGATTGGAAAAAGGAATAAATCCTCTCTGGGTGTTTCACTGGGAACAAGGCAAGGTGGCAAAACCCTGCTCTGCCTCCTTGACTATGGGTGAATTGTGTTTCAAATTCTGGCCAGGGCAAAGGCTTGGCCCAGAAATCACCAGAGTATGAAAGCAGCAGAAGCTGCTTGTTTTGGTGCTTACAATGGCAGTGCTGTCTAGCAGTTGCTCTTTTTCATGTTATCACTTCTGATGACTTTAAAACGATGGCTTTTAACACCCTTTGCTGCTCACAGTGCTGTTGAGATGTACAGCCAAAAGGTTTAGATGGAGGACAACTTGCTTTTCAACAGCCAAGGCCACAACATTTAACACTGCTAGAAGTCATTAATCATTTAAAATATATATACATACACACTTGCAAGAATTTCCAATTATCTACACCATGGGCAACTTGGAATAATACCTGGGGAGTGGGTGTCTGAATTCCTCTGTGTTCCTAGAGAATAGCATCTCTGATTTTATTAGGATAAGATTTTTGCTCTGAAGTATTTCTGATGCAATTATAAAAACAGATGGAGAAGGAAGATGCACATGGGCAGCATTAAAACACCACTGTCTGTGCTAAAAGCTCTTGAGGCAAGGAAAACTGATAAGCACATGGACACTTTGGGACATCAGCGGCTCAGTAGGAATGAGCACAGACAGGCTAGCAAAGGCAGGCAGGGGTGAGGGACTGAGAAAAAAACAGGGATCCTGGGCTTGGCTGGCCGAGTGCTCTGGGAAATGGTCCTCTCTGCAGGAGGGAGTGTACTTGTGATGCAGCCAAAGTGGTGACAGCTTGGGTTGTGTGCCAGAGGCACACGAGCTATATGGCTGAGATTTGCCTCGGGGTTAAACCTGCCCGACCTCGGCACATTTTAGAGGTTATGAAGCAGTTTAAGTAGTCACCCGTGTGAATCCTCCCTCTGATACACCCCTTCTCCCCAAAGCACTCGGTTGTTTCTGTGCTCCAAAGGCTGACAGGCATGAGGTTTTTGTATCTTCGAGGAGTGACATTTCAGAGAAGTGGCTACAGGAGTTTTTGAGCGCATGCCACCAGATCACGGAGCAGATGACCTCATTCATTAGCCACCACAGGACCATCGCTCACATTTCCACTACCTGCTGAGGCTGCAGCCTGTCCCTCCTGTGCCATCCCAGCTGCCCAAGGAGGCTGGGGACAAGAATCCTGGCATCCTGCAGCATCACAAACCCGCTCAGATCTGATGCGGTTTGTTTTCAGAACTGTGAAATCTGAAACATGTATCAAAAACACGGATCACCCTAATTTAATTAAAAATTTATCTTGCCGATCCGATCATATCCTAAAAACAACTGCAAGTTCTGCCTGTGAGATAAGATTAGTTATTGGGATTTCAGAAGTCATGCTCCCTTGATACCTTATTACACACTGAGACAGCTCTCCAGGAGCTGTTAAATTCCTGCTTGCTGCAGAGACTTACAGAAATAAAATGTGTGGCACTTGGGCTGATTCCCCACATAGGCAGAGAAGAAATGGGGTGAGGGAAATAAGAGAAGCAGTGGAGCTACTAGAAACACATACGGATATGTGCTCTGCTACAGAGAACCCATGGGCCAGACAGAAGATCCCTAAGTCCATGTTGACCAGAAAAAAGCATGTTTTGGTCCAATGCACAGTGCTTACAAGTGAGAGGGCGGTGGTTTGTACCCCACTGCCACGGCTGGCTGCAAAGCCCAGCACAGTCGAGTGCTGCACACCTTTGCAATCTGTGCAAAGAAGAGCACTGTCTGTGCAGAGCTCCTCATGGACAATGAGGGGAAGACATGAAAAGATTGCTAATTAAAACCATTAACTGATTTACTTTTCCCCTGAGCTGCACAGAAATAACTTTCCAAAGCAATAGCCCAAGCTTCAGCTTTTGCATTGCTATATTTTAGCAATTACAGTGAAGAAGCAGGCAATCTTAGCACAATTCAGCACGGGCCTTTCATCTAGCAGCAGAGCTAATTACTTAGACAGCATCTGCTCGTGGGATTATGTTACATGACGGGTGTCTTGCAGACTCACTTCTGACTGAGGGGTGCTCACCGGAATGCTTTGGCTTTCCAAATGTGGTCCCATCACCCTTAAAACTCTGCCTATTCTTGAGCAAGAGGCATTATGCACGGCTATATATAGAAAAACAGATTTTCTAGGTCAGAACACAAGAAGTACTTTAGGCTTAGGTACCCTACCCCATTCCAAACAGAAGAGAGACATGAAACATGGAGTTTATCATAATTCAAAGAATATCACCTTTTTATTGCCGGTGATATTTTAAGTCAAATCTGAAAGTCTGTAGCTGTCTTGTTCATACTAAAAGCGACTGAGACTTCATCATCCAGCCACCCCCAGTGACCTGTAGATTGAGATATAATACTACTGCCCTTTGAAATTCAATTGAATTGTCATTAAGGCCAGAGGATCCTCCAATTTTGTAAATATAATGCAGTTGTCTTAAAACACCTCGACAGCAAATGCCCTATTTCATTGCAGCTGTAGAGTGTTTTCAATCAACATCTAAATTAATGTCCTTCTTATCATGATGATCCAGCAGTTCAAGAGATCCTGAAATCCAATATCAGATGTTAGGGCTTGATACCATCTCCAATATTAGGGCCTTCCACTTCCAGCTTCCATTTTAGTAATAATATGTTTCAAATTTATGGATCTGTTTGTGTTTGGTCCTACTTTCTATTAGCTGTATCTTCTTCCTGCTCTTTATGTTGACACTGTTAACAAGAAATGCTTCCAGCCCCAGAGCAGTGGAGGCTTTGAACCTATAGCTCTAGGTTTTCAGATTACAACCCCTCTGAAACATTAAGAACTAAAGGTCTCACAGTCAGATAGTGTCTTCATCCCCAGTAACACAAAAGTCTTGTCAACTGCCTTTCATATCACAAATTCGTTGATACTGTTTATTTCAGATGTGATTATTATGCTTGCTTTGGTTTTCTATTTCACCAGAGCATCATGTTCTTTTAAATGAGCTCTCTGCACACCCACTGTGACCGCAGCAGGACCTGCTGACACACAGGAACTCTCTGGAGCTGTGTCCCGCTCCCTCTGGTTGTGGTGTTGGAGAGCACCATTTAACACCCACTACCTCTGCGGTTATAAATCACATTGCTCCAAATGCATCTCCTGCCTGTGACTAACCAAGGATGAATATGGCCAAAGTGCTGGCCTGGGATGGAGCTAAGAGACAGCACAGAGGCTCTTGTGCATCTATGTGTCCTGCAAAACTCGAGGAAATGTTTGCACACAGCATCCAGCAAGTCAAAATCACCACGTGAGTTTTGCAGTTTAATGTCAGGAATTTACATCTTAATTTCAAGAGGAAAATACAACCCTCAGGGCTATTTGGTCAGCACCTTTAGCAGTGCTCCTAGCATGGGCTGCAGTCATGTACCTCCTTCCCTGCCTGCCCTACAGCTCTCAGCCAGCTGGGCTCATGTAGCATCTGCAGACAGAAAACAATCACTGTGTCCCAGCTTGGGGGGGACCAGCCAAGTGCCAAATGAGAACAAAAGAATGAGCAAGGTGACCAAATCCCATCCCCGCCATGGAGTCCACTGCTGGTGCTTTGGTGGGGCAGGCATGTTCAGCTCCCACCGACAACTGCTGACTGCTAAGTACCAGCGGTACTTACCAATGTAAATACAAGTCCAGACCAGACTCGTGGTCAGATTCGCCACAATTGACAACTTTAGTATTGTTCTAACCAAAAAGAGACACAAAAGCTCTAATTTACTTCTGGACAAGCATCAGGAAATGTCAAGCATCATCGGAATATCAGTGTGGGCAGATGACAGCATTGCAAGCAGCAGCTACTCCAGGCTGCCCCACTGTCAATGTGGTGCTAGATAAAGAAAGGTTTGCAGAACCTTGTGCCCTGGAAACCTCTGCTCACACGTGTCCTCGGATACTACCTCCTACCCTTGGCTTTCCTGTGGGACTCCATCCAGTGCATGTCCTGTGCCCCTGCTCAAAGCAGGGACTGCTTGAATAGGAACAGGTTGCCCAGAACTGTGTCCACTCAGGCTTCAAATATCACCAAGGACAGAGACTCCAACAGTGCAATAATTTCTAAAAATCATCCTACAAAGCAAGAAGCAGGAGTGGTGCTTACCAAGGCAGATCTTGCTGAGGTCAGCAGGAATACTGAACAAATTAGCCATGTTTTGCAGGACAGACCCAGAGACACTAACTAACCTTAATCATCTACAGATCAGTAACAGGAGAAATAAAAGCAGTCATGCATTTGGGGGCTGATCAGAGAAGCAAGAGTCATTGTCCAGACACTGCAAAAGTGTCCTGCAATCACATGCTTGAAGAGTAAATTATATTGTTAGCACACAAGGATGCTGAAATATTGTCTCTGTGAGGCTGAGCCGCA